TCATGTACTCATGTTTATTCCCCAGATGAGAGAACTCAAGAAGTTGGTTGAAGAGGGTAAAATAAAGTATGTAGGTTATCCAAGGCTCCTGCTTCAACAATTAGAAGGGCAAATGCAGTTTATCCGATAACAGTTGTATAGTTGGAGTGGTCGTTATGGACAAGATATGCAGGGAAAAAAGTTATTCCTACTTGCAGGTAAGGCATTAGTGGTACTAATTGCTAACTTATATGCTAGGAAATAACAGACAATTTTAAGCTCTAGTTTTGTCCACCATAATTTGTCAGAGAACATAGCATTGGGATTGTTGCATATAGTCCTCTAGGACAAGGATTCCTGTCTTCAGGTCCCAAGATAGTTGAGAAGTTGTCAAGTGGCAACATTGGTAAGGTTAATGCTTATGCAGTGCCTGCGTGTCAAGGAGTGGGACAATAGGCCTAAATTTGGTCCTTTTGATGCTGCGTGTTTGCAGTTCTTTCACACTGAAATATATATTTCATCTTTTGCAGCTTCTGCCAAAGTTCCAACCTGAGAATGTTGAGCATAACAAGAACTTGTTTAAGCAAGTAAATGCTATGGCAGAAAGCAAGGGATGCACACCAGCACAGCTCGCATTGGCCTAGGTCCATCACCAAGGAAATGATGTGCGTCCCATACCCGGCACCACCAAGATTGATTACTTTAACCAAAACATTGGGGGCATTTCACCAAATGTGCTCAACTCGAAGCCATAGCTTCAGCTGATGCTGTTAAAGGTGATAGATTTGGGGGCATTTCAATCACTTGGAGGGAATCAAACACTCTCCCATTGTCCTTGTGGAAAGGCGAATAAACACACGCCTCTGCCTCCTCTAGTTCCTTGAGGTCCAATGTTGTGATGATTTTGTATTGTTTTAGAACTTGTTGGCTTGTGTTCAAGAACATAATAAATAGAATAACTTCTGCAAGTAGGAATAACTTCTTACTCAGAATCTCTTGTCCATAATGACCACTTCAACTGTACGTCCTTCTGATTGTTGAAGCAGAGGCCTCGGATAAACCTACATATTTTATTTTACCCTCTTCAACTAGTTTCTTGAGTTCTCCCATCTGGCATAAACATCGGTACAAGGCATCAAAAGGGTTAGGGACCAGTGTTGACAAGTCTTATGGTTCGTGGTCTCGGCTGCTACCCGGAAAATAGGGAGGTTACGTTACCTATCCAAGAAGTTACCCTCAGCAGCCTCAGGAGAGAAATCATCACGCTCGATAAGATGCTTGTTCAAAAAAGAGATGTACATAAGGAAACATTCAAAAACTAATATATGTGAGAGGGGAAGAGACATGGACACAAGATGGTCATATCATACTACAGCATATCTCAAGTGTGATTACACAACTTTTAAAATAACCTCAAAATATACTTAACAGCTTCCTTGGGGTTGAAGGAGGGGTCAACAGCCTACAACTCTGTATGAAGATAAGGGATGTTTACCAAATCGTAAATTGGTAATTATGAATTAAAATCCATGGACAGAAGAGAAGAGAACCAGAGAATATTATGCTTACTAAACCAGACAGGATTTGACAATGAGTAAGAATAATGAAAAGAAGAAAAGAAATAAAACCCTTCTAAGAACTGAATTATTAATGAAAAAGTAATCTAAATATTTAGGACTGCTTTAAGAGGTATTAAAAAAATCAGGTGATAAGAAAAAAGAGAAAGGAGAGTCAATAGTAAATAATTTACAAATCCGTATTTATGAAAACATACGAGACTCAAAACATTATTGAGATATAAGTAGCATTTATATTTATGTAGCTCAACAACCGCTAAACTTCACTCTGTTTGTTTCAAATGGATTTAGTATTTTTCCTCCCTATTTCTTGTGTTTTGATAAACATATTCAAAACAGTTGCATTTTTGGCTGAGACATTCCATCAAGCAGTGCATGGACACTTGTAATACAATTCGAAAACACACAATTTGTTGACTTTCATTTGCGTATTCTCAAATTCCTATATATATAGATCAACATGTTGAGTGAAAGAAATGGAATATGATCCATCTTTATCATAAATTACAATAATATAAAAGTGAAAGAGAAGTGTTTTGTACCGTGACTTCGATGATGATGCTAGTGTCGACGCGATGCCGATAATAGTGATCTAAGAAATTAATGTCGAGCTGCTTCAAGCTGACCTCGCAGGTGGCCCACACATACGCCGGATCATAGCGAATTTAAATCTCGTCGGAAAAGCTGCAACCGAACTTCGTTGAGAGCCTGATCACAAATTAATTCGTCAATTAGGTAAAAAATTAGGGTTAATTACAATAAGTTGATCTGCAATTGAAAGTGAAATTGTAAGTACCATGGCGATGAGGATTTTATTGATGAAGGTGACGCCGGAGTTAATGGCGGAGTCAGGCTGCATCCTCCTCACTCTCTCCATCTACCCTCAATATAGCTATATATAACCCTCTCTCTCTATATGTCGATATAGCGGCATTTATAGAGAAAGGGAGAGAGAGAGAGAGAGAGTGAAATAGGGGAAGCTGGCAGAGATGAAAGAGGATGTTGGAGTTGCGAATGGAGCTCCTCGGTAAGCTGCTGGTGAGACTCAAAGCGAACGAAAAGACACGTGGAAGAAAGGAGGGGTAGTGTAGGAAACTGATGAATTCGGAGGGTGTTTTGGTAAAAGCAGATGCAGAGTATGGGGCCAAAATGGTCAAGAAAAAAATTTGGACCATTTCTCGATTTGTGCGTGTCATCCTTGCGCAGGGGCCATGCTAATCTTCTCTGTATCGTTCCAATTTTATCGGATGTCCCCGAAGGGACGGTAGTAAGTTGTGAACAAAACATATATTAGGCGAAGACACTGTAGTTCTTTAACCGATGTGGGACATCTTAACTCTTTTGAAAAACGTGCCTTACACAGCCTAGTTAACTCTACGTTAATAGCCTTCAAACTAGTTTATTACTAATCTAGTCAAACTATATAGCCTTGTAGATATGATGATGCCCAATTGTCCAATCAGGTTCTAAGATGTCTGACAGTAGTATTTTATTGTTTGTTTTTGTTTTTTTTTTGTTTTAAACATCCAAATAATTTCTTGGTGTTAAGAGTTTTAATATAGTTTTAAACATCAATTAAATTGAAAATGTAAAATATTTATATTGTTATTGCGTTCTAGATTTACTGGTATTAAATCCCCAATATAATATTACTTCATGACTTTGTATTTTATTGTGTCCAATAGGGTGCTACAGAACTTATCATATTGTGATGAAATCTAATAAGGATCATTGGTAAAATGTGATCAATTGATATAATTAACCAAGGTGATAAATGGAGCAATTGTTTGCACTATTTTATTGGAGGTGATTTTCACCCCATCTTAAGAGCACCTGCAGCTTGGCTAGAGAAAGTATCAATTTGCATTGAAGCGGCCCGACAGAAATAGAATAGTTCCACAACAGCTAGCGGGCTAGCTCGCAAAAAAGCACGAGTCCAAGTTCAATTGGGATTTTTATTTTTTTTTATCTTTTCCTTTGTCAAAATGCCATCATTTGTAGCAAAGATTTTTTTTTCTTTCTAACATTCAAAAACAAATCAGCAAAATTTCTGGGTATAATTAATATCGAAAGGAATTGCCCCAGTGACTTGTAACTTGTAATTAATATGGTGAGTTATTTATTGTTATAAATATAACTTGTAAATATTTTAAATATTCGATTTTTAATTTATTCTTAAATTTTTTGTGTAGATGATACAAGCTAAAGAGGTATTTCGTAGTCAAACAGGTACTGAATTTGAGTTAGAAAGTTGACATATTGTGAAACATAACATCAATCCTAACTTTTAATCCATATAATGGATGACGTATCATTTAAAGTTGTGTAATATTAATCCTAAATTTTTTAATCCATATAATGGATAATGTATTGTTTAAAATTATAATATTAGCCGTATATTTTTTAATCCATATAATGGATAATGTAATGTTTAAAGTTATAATATTAATCTTATTTTTTAACCCATATAGTGAGTGTTCATTATATAAGATAAAAAATATAACCGTTAGGAAAAAGTTCCAAAAAATAAAATAATTTTTTTTTTTTTTTTTTTGGAGAGCGTAAATTCAGAGAGCCTGATGGAGTAACTGTTTTTAGAGAGCGAAAGTAGCCGATGTGGCTCTTAGGATTGCTAACGTGACTCTTGAAAAAGTTGAAATGGTATTTTTAAAGAGCCAAAATCCGGAAAGATTAGTGCGAATGCTCTCACCGTAATAAAATTTTCATTCTATAATTATAAACTGATTAATCTAAGTGCTCAAACCAACTACTACTACTACCAAAAAACAAAAAATCGATTTTTTATTACATATATGAGATGTGCAAAAGGGAACAGATGGTAGTGCATGTTTATATTCATAATTCAGCTGAAGCATAGATGGGTTGGGTCACATGTGGTTTCTTAATGAAAGTCATCAAGGCACAACTTATGTTCTAAAAGGAGAGTAAAATACAATGGTTCTAATTTTTAAGATAAATGACCCAAATTTGTACTATAATGGTATGGAGGAGGCTAAAAAATGACCCAAAATCTCTCTTTTCATATGTGGTTTATGTTCCTTTCATAAAAAAAATTCTTTGAAACCAAACGTAAAAGGAATTTAGGTTTCACATTAACTAATTTGACAATGAAACTAAACTTAATTATGGTTACACCGACAGACTATGAGCTCGATAATTCTTCCTCATGGAAGCAATTAGGTTGAGTTCCAACAGAGTAGTGTGCTTTTGTAGTGTGAGCATTTGCTTGTTTCCATACTTAGGTCTTATGTTTATGACCTACTTTTTGAAAGATAGAAAGGTAGTGGATTATAGAGTGCCAAGTAGTATGAGACTGGAGAAGAAGTCAATGCCAAATCGGAGGTTTGGAGGGAAGTTTTCGAATTAAAAAGGTTTAAGATAAGCAAAAATAAAACTGAATATATGGATTTTAACTTTGGTAAATATAGAAATACAAATGAGGATATAGTGAATTGAGGATCAAGAGGTACAAAAAAGTTAACATTGTCTTTATTTAGACTCACACATAGGCACATATGTATTTTAGATATTTGTTCTTTCAACAAAAGCTAGGCACTTAAAGAAATTACACCATCTCTGAACACCATGATAAAACACTACAAACTCACAACAACAATGGTCCTCGAGCAACTAAGGGAGGCAGGCTCGCGTGTTTATTCATCTTTCCAGGAGGACAATGGGGGAGTGTTTGATTCCTTCCAAGATATTATAACGCCCCCAAATCTTTCACCTTTAACAGCATCAGCAATAGTTTCGAGTTCAGCCATTTCTTCCTTTGTTAGCTGCACGGATAAAGCACCAATGTTTTGTTTAAAGTTTTCGATCTTGGTAGTGCCAGGTATGGGGCACACGTCATTTCCTTGGTGATGGACCCAGGCCAATGCGAGCTGTGATGGAGTGCATCCCTTGCTTGCTGCCATAGCATTTACCCGCTCAAATAAGTTTTTGTTATGCTCCACATTCTCAGGTTGGAACTTTGGTAGATGCTGCAAAAGATGAAATATATACTTCAGTGTAAACGAACTTCAAACACACAGCACCAAAAGGGCCTACTTTAGGTAAGTTGTCCAACTCCTTAACATGTAGGCACCACGTAAGCAAGTCACACGACTCACACAACTCCTTGGAGGCTTGAAGGTGGTTTTGTTTTGATATATCATGAAGGCAGTACTATTTAAGGAGAGAGGGAATGGAAATCATATCATTGTGATAATGCCAAAGCAGTTATGTCCAATACTTGAAGCCACTGCTTGTTATCCTATGTCCCTTTTACCCGGTTGGTAGTCACCGCTAGCTAGCAGATTCAAATCTGAGGGGGGAACTGGAAAGAGATTACAGGACAAATTTTTCTCTGTGAGTGGCAATGCATTTGACATTGTGCCCTTATCATCTTGGCTATTCCTTTATATTGTGCTTAATCTACACATATGATCATATCCGAAAATAGCCACTCTGTTTATGAACAAGGGGTCCTCTCTCCAGTCACCACTAACCCTAGACGGGGGACTGCTCTCTCACTCACCTCTCTCCTCTTCTCCTCCAACCACTCTCCTTAAGTCCTACCGGCATGATGTTAACTAAGACAACTATCAAATATAATTTTGATGTCCGCATGCAATATACTCAGTGATCGATGGATAGATTAGAAAGGGTCTCAAAATAAAAAAATAAAATTACTCAGTGAACAACACAATCTTGAGTTTTGGATAAAGTGGAGTCGCAACCAAAGAGATATAATGAAAATAGTTGAGGTCCTTGAGGAACTTTCTATTTCAACAAATTATGCAGTGTTAAATCTAGTCAAAGCTTAGAAAACAACATTACTCAATGCACTCAGTGATCGGTGGACAGTTTAGAAATGGTCTTAAAATAAATAATAAATAAAATTACTCAGTGAACAACACAATCTTGAGTTTTGGATAAAGTAGAGTTGCAACCAAAGAGATGTAATTGAAACAGTTGAGGAACTTTCTATTTCAACAAATTATGCAGTGTTGAATCTAGTAAAAGCTTAGAAAACAACATTATGACTTTGGGGGGTCAGTTCTACCATCACTCAGGCTAAAAGGAGGATAAACTAAAAGAATGGAACAACCTGATTTTTATAAGGTTGTTTGGCGCCATGCTGGATATCACAGGACTGATAGGCTACGAATATGTGAACCATCAAAAGGAAACTTGTTATGTTTTAAATAATATGAGAAGTTCTTTCATCGTCGAGAAAGAAATGCAAACAAGAGGACAACAAGAAAATTCTGAATATTCATACATACCAAATCATTCACGAGCTGGACCCAGCTCTGAGGACTGATTTGGTGTATGTGGATCTACTATCAATCATGATGACCCTTTATACATAATACTACACAGATGATGTAGATAAATTTTGTTATGATTGCTGAAACATAATTCATTCAAAACACAAAATGTTATATGCACAAACCTTTCGGAAGTCATCATCAGAAAACTTCTCAACCAGACTGGGACCTGAAGACAGGAACCCCTGTCCTAGAGGACTGTAAGCCACAATCCCAATGCCAAGTTCCCTGAAAATTTATGGTGCACAAAATTAGAACTTTAAATTTTCTCTCTCCCTAAACATATTAGTTAGCAGTCAGCAGTACTAATGCCTTACCTGCAAGTAGGAATAACTTCTTCCTCCGAATCTCTCGTCCATAATGACCACTCCAACTGCACTGCAGATATCGGGTGAACAGCATGTGCCCTTCTGATTGTTGAAGCAGAGGCCTCGGATAAACCTACATATTTGATTTTACCCTCTTCCACCAGTTTCTTGAGTTCTCCCATCTGGCATAAACATCAGCACATGACATAAAAACAGATTAGGGAACGCTCGATAGGATGTTTGTTCAAAAAAGAGATGCACGCACATAAGGAAACATTCAAAAACTAAAATATGTTACAGGGAAGAGACGTGGACAGAAGATGGTCATACCATACAACAGCAAATCTTTAGTGTGATCACACAAGTTTTAAAATAACCTCAAAATAAGAGATGTTCACCTAATGCTAATTATGAATTCCATTCAAACGTAAAATGCAATTGTCCATTGACAGAAGAGAAGAGAACCAGACAGCCTACTGCTAGTTTTTTCTTCCTATTTCTTGTGTTTTGATGAACACATTTGAAACAGTTGCATTTTTGGCTGAGACATTCATCGAGCAGTGGGTGGACACTTATAATACACTTAGAAAACAGACAATTAATTTGTTAACTTTCATTTGCATATTCTCAAATTCCTATATCAATCAATAAGCATGAGTGAAAGAAATGGAATAGGATCAATCTTCGTCATAAATTAGAGAAAGGGAACTGTTATGTACCGTGACTTCGATAGGGATGCTAGTGTCAACGCGATGCTGATAATAGAGATCAATGCAATCGATGTCGAGCCGCTTCAAGCTGGCCTCGCAGGAGGCCCGGACATACGCCGGATCGCCGCGAATTTGGAAGCCGCCGTCGGAAATGCTGATACCGAACTTGGTCGCTAATTCAGTTCTCTCTCTAAACCCTCCCTTCATAGCCTGATCGATCATAAAGTAATTCAAAATATCAGTGTTAATTAATTACCGTAAGTTGATCTGCAAATAAAATTGAATATATGTATAAGTGTATGTATATGTATACCTTGGCGATGAGGATTTCGTTGATGAAAGGACCGTAGACGTCGGAGGTGTCAAGGAAGGTGACGCCGGAATCAATGGCGTGGTGGATTAGGGCAATCATGTCGGAATCGGGCTTGGGAGGGCCGTAGAAGGCGGACATGCCCATGCAGCCTAGTCCCTGTGCTGATACTTCTAGACCTTGTGAACCTAGCTTCATCCTCCTCACTCCCGCCATCTCCTCTCCTGTATATTATACACACCTCTCTCTCTCTATATGACATAGTGGCAACAGAGCAGGGTATATATAGACAGAGAAAGTGAGTGAAATTGTGAGTACTCGTAGGGAAGATGAATGACTGGTTACTTTGCTGTTTGAAAAAGAAAGAGTGGACGGTTAGATGACACCTTTTTGTTCACTCTCATTTGGACTCAGCTTTCAGTTGCAATCTAAACGACGATGCAAAATGTGGAGAGGAGACACGACACCATGTGGAGACGGCCGGCCACACGGCTAATCTCAAATTCTCATACAAACGAATAGGTCCAAATAATAATAGTATTAATTTAATATGGAAATACTCCCCCTATAGCAATTTAGACGTAGACGGGGAATTTTTAAGGGGACATGCATCGTATCTTTAAAAAGTTATTAATTTGATTCGTTAAATTTTGAAGTGACATTTATTTTGGAATAGACCAAAAAAAGAAAACATGATATTTTTTTTTTTTTTGGATATAGGGAGTAATATTTTTTGATCATTTTATTTATTTATATATTTACATTTGTTAGGGTGTGGCAGGCATGTGTATGATACCATTAATATGGCACTCTAGGAGAAGTGTTTGTGCTTTCTAAATGTGGTTTTACTAGGGCCTTCGATGGGCATACCATTGTGAACAATCTCTCTATATGTGGGGAGCCAAAGTGATTGATGTAGGCATCTCCTCTCCGTGGAACTGATATAATATTATTCAATTTAATCTTCACGTTTGGAGAATCATATGATACCATATGATTCCAAAATGATGGCCAACATAAAAAAATGTGGGTATAATAGTGAAAAGAGAAGTGATAGGTCTTCCGACCTCAATTGCCGACTCCTTCTTCAAACACAACGTGGTTGAAAATGAGTCGTTGTCGACTCCTCCGAATATAATGTGGTTGGGAATGAATTGAGGAGAAAGAAATATTTACCGAATTTTTTTTTAAGAATTCTAATGTGGTCCAACCATATTGTATTCAAAAAAGGAGTCGACAATTGAGATCCAAAAACTTATCATTTCTATAGTGAAAAAGGTAAGATAGGATTGGTGGCCCACATGAGCTCTAAAAATCAAATAAATTTCTCCATAAAAATAGTAGTTTGGGTCATTGGAAGGTCAAACAGTAGGCTCAGGCATTTTTTTAAATAATATTGATAAGACCGTTTTGACCTGAAAATATTCGTTATTTCTAATCCATAATGACCCGACTAGTAGAAAATTGGTTGAGGTAGTCTGCTTTTTTTGCTGAATTCCATGTCCCGAAATAGTGTTATTCAAACTTGTTAAATATTTCAAAATTTTTGTTGGAGGTGTAATCGAGTTCGAATAATTCTTATTTTTGGTATTTAATTTCTTTTTAACAATTAGTTCTGCTATTCCATTTTTCTCATTTTAGACACCATTGAATTTTAGGCTCAATTTTAACTTTTGTTATGCTGTGAGGTTTTATTTACCATAAATACACTTTTTTTTTTTCGATAAGTAAATCATAAATACACATTCATCAAAAGTATATTATATATATTTTTTATTATTAATTTTACTAGCACACCTTAAGATTTGACCAAATATTACATTGAAAAATCTTTTAAAAATTATTATCACTTACATGACAAACGTTTGATCCGTTTATCACTTAAAATGCAAAAGTTACATTGATTATATGTTGACAACTTTTTTCAGGTAAAATATATACTTCTAAAAGTATTTTTTAATTAAAATTAAATTAAAATTCTCATTTGAGTCATTGATTATTTAATTTTTCTCGTACCATCAATTGGTCTAATTATTTTTATACCAACAATAATCATTATTTGACAAGAAATATAAAAAAATAATAATAATCCATTAATTTTTGAAAAAATGATAAGGTCGAAACCGAAACAATTCTCTCCATCATTGAATGCAACAAGTGAGATTTTTTTAGATTTTAAAAAGTAATTCTAGAGGCTATAATCATTAAGCCAACAATGATGACAAAAAAATATAATAATAAAAGCAAATTGAAGATGCCAAAAATATGAAATTGTATGATTGTTGTTAAAGAGAGATTGCCTCGTGTCTCTCGCCCTAAAGTAGGTATTGGGTTTATCTCTCTTAACCATTGTTTTGTTTCTTGTCATTAGTACAGCTCATCTTTTTCTCTCTTTATTAAATGGTTCATTTCTTTCTCTCTTTAGATGCCCTCTTTCTCTCTCTCTCAACTCTCTCTAGGCTGCTTTTTGGTCCCTATATAACTCTTCCATGTACTTTGATTAATGATTTCGATGTCACATGTTTTTGTTGAGGAGATCAAGACTGAAATTGATAGGCTCGAAAAATAATTTTTGGAGAATGAATTGTAAGTTGTTTTTGAGAAATTATTTTCCTCAGTAAAAAATTTTCTTTAAATTAACTACCAAACACCAAAAAATACAAAAAATATTTTTCTCACGTGCTTTTGTTAAGGAGATCAAGAGTGAAATTGATAGGCTCGAAAAATGATTTTTGGAGAATGAATTGTAAGTTGTTTTTGAGAAATTATTTTCCTCCGTAAAAGATTTTCTTTAAATTAACTACCAAACACCAAAAAATACAAAAAATATTTTTTAAAAAATATTTTACGCTCAAACAAATGGAGCTTAATCTTAAAACCATGACAATTTTTTTTTTTTTTTTTATTTTTTTTTATTATAACTCATAACACATTCAACCAATGGGCATTACCCATCTCTCCTCGGAAGTTGAGTGTTTGAGCCCAACTATAGTAATATTGTGAGCGTGTGCGTTTGAAAAAAAATAACGCATCTCAAGTATTTTAAAAGTAAATGTGGTCAAAACATTTAATAATACTACCAAAATTTTCAACATTTCATCAAACATGCATAAATACCCATCCCGTTATTACATGGTAATGGTTCCGGCTAATCATAACATGTAAGAAAAAAAATAAAATAAAGTTAACATAAAACTTATACCCTTGCTTATGCGTAAATTGGTCATTTTTGGTTCGTGACCATGTAAACTACCACATTTTCTTGGTTCCTTATGATAGCCTCTATAATCTGCCTAAGAAAATCATACGGTAAACGTAGAATTAGTAGTAACTAATTAAAAATAACATTCCACATGAACTTGTATTAAACATAAGACAAAACTTTTTGTGCAGATCAGATATAAGATGAACTTTTCCATCTGTCTTAAATATGATCTTCTGGTTAAGATTACCATGGATCAAGTATGCAAAAAATAAAATAATAAAAAAAAGGGTAATGTGCAAAAAACCCCCCTAAACTTTACTCTTTCTTCCAAAAAACCCCCCCGAACTATTTTTTTAACAGAAAATCCCCTAAACTATCACACTTTTTGCAAAAATAAGCCAGGTAACACTGTTCCAGTAAATTTTGGCCGTAAAATAGTCAATTGCATATGCTGTAAATTGAAAATGCCAATCCTACCCTCTTTCTCTCTCTATGTCTAAATTCTTTCCCAAATTACAGACATTGGACCCTGCAATTTATTGTTCTGCAATGAGACATTCACCAATTTGGGAAGAGAACTCAGCGTCGGAGGCACGACACCGGTGAACTGAATGTCCCAGAGCTGCAAAACGAAGAGATTCTGAGACAGGTCCGGGATAGGACCCGTGAACCATCGTCGAGCTCTCCATCTCTAAGCTCACCGCGCCTACCAAAAGCTCATCACACAGCCGCCGGACTAGAGCTCAACACACAGCCGCCGGATTTGTTCTCACAGCCGTCTTCTTGTCTCCCCCAGATCCGTTTCGAGCTCGATCCACCACCGCCGAATCTGTTTTCATCAACCTCGCAATCGCAGCCTCCTCCTCTCCGATCGACCACTACCTCATCGACTGTGGCTCAACTGAATCCATCACCGTCAACGTTGACAACCGCCGTTTCGTCGGCGACTCTCCATAGCTCGAACGATCTCACACAGGGATTCGAACCCACTTCCGAATTTTGTCCCGGTTCATTGTATGCCAGTTCCGGCCCAAGTTCTTGGCTGTAATAAAACAAGAGAATTGACATAGAGAGAGAAGATCTAAGCATTAACGGTGCAATCGCAGCGGCCAAAGTGAAGTCTCCGGCCAAAAAATTGGTGCAATAACAGCGGCCAAACCACTAAAATCTCCTGCAAAAGAGGAGCGGTGCTACACCGAAGTTGTTGATGCAGAGGTCTCGGTAGGAGGAAAATTCTCCACGTTGATGGCGGTGGTGAGCTGGCTGCCGGGCGATTCCGGTGACTTGGAGACCTGTACCACGGCGACACAAGGTCGCCAAGTAGTAGATTTGGACATGCGTCGCCATGAAGTCGACCTTTCCAAGCTGTGATGCACTTACGTAGCCGCAACCTTGCGGTCGCTTTTTCGCGACGCCGATGACCACTGCCGGAGCAGTGCCTCCATCATCGGCCATGAAAAGGAAAGAGAGGGGAAGAGAAGGTTAGACAGAAGAGAGAGATAGAGAGGGAGGAGGGGGGAGGTTCGTACAGTAGCTATGTTGGTGTTGCAATAGATGAGTTAGGGTTTCAAAGCTTAGCTTTCACTGGTTGGTTCAGCGCTGACTCTGTTTGGCGTTGAAGTTTTGGTAAAGTGATAATGAGTTGTCTAAATATCATTGGCTGTTCACAATTTGTCTGACACATCCGCAATAGAAGCCCATCAAACACTAAAACGACGTCCTTTTATAAAAGGGTAATTTTGTAATCAAACATCTCCGGTGACCTTTTATGCCACAATTCATTTTGTCCTTAAATTGTATATTTTTAATAGATTAGGGGGTATTTTTTAGTTTAGAGGGGTTTTGTGTTTTTTGCTGAAAGTTTAGGAGGGTTAAATGCACTTTACCCTTAAAAAAAAAATAAGCATTCCCTTATTTAGTAGGTCGGTCTCAAATTCCCAGTTTGGGTATTTTATATATATGGTAATTAATTTCTTGGAACAAAAGGATTTCTTTTTAGTTAAGTATCAGAGCTCAGAAGGATTTTGAATCCTAATTGCTTCCCAACAACTCTGTTCTTTTTATATAATTGATTGCACCTCTTTTTCATCGCAACCCTAGACGCTCGCATCATTCTGTTCATCGCAATCCTAATTCATCGCAATCCTAGACGCAGCAAATCGAATCATTAGTCTCCTTCCGAATCCTAATTCCTTCCCAACAACTCTGTTGCACCTCTGTTTCATTCTGTTCGCAACCCTAGACGTAGCAGATCGACTCATTCTTTATATTTGATTGTCGCAGCAGATCGCATCATTCTTTATATTTGATTGTTGCAGCAGATAGAATCATGCTGGGAGAGAGAATGGATTTGGTGACGATGGCGATGCCCATTAGCGTTCGTTGCAGGACCTGCCGCAACTACATCAACAGAGGCACCAAGTTGAATTCCCGCAAAGAAGCAGTGTTTGACGACGACGGTGTCAAAACATATAGGTTCTCCTTCAACTGCAGCAAGTGCTCTGCTAAGATTGTGTTAGCCAGAAACCCGAAAACTTCAATCACTGTAATAAAGTCAGGCGCAAGTCGAAACTTGGACCCGGACCCTTGGCTTTCAGATTACTATGAGAAGGAAAGAGAAAAGGAAATGGAAGAGGAAAAGAAGTTGGAAGAGCAGGAGGAGCGAGCAATAGCACTCCTAAAAATAATATTGGGAGCATCACCAAATTATGCCCCAAAAAGAATCCACGATGGTCAAGATCTTGATGATGATGCGGATGGTGAAATTGGAATCATTGATTTAAAGAGGAAAAAGGTTGATGAAGAAACGAGTATTCACAACAGCTCTCACCCTGAAGAGAAATCAGGACGCAGACGAACTCGATCTTCATCAGTTAGGTTTCCTAACAAGGTTTACTCTTTAAGGGCAAGAAAAGAACTAAAGCAATGAAGACGATTAGTTTAGTTTGATGCTGCACTGCTACGTGTGCTCATGTAATTGCAACGTTTGATGTAATTTTGATGGTTTTATATTCTTTTCGTTTAAAGAATATTTTGTGTCTTGCTGGTTCAATTGTCTTCTAATAAATAGGTTTGCTTTGACCATGCATAATCCACTTCAGTTGTTGCTAAGATTTTCTCTTTCAAGTACTCAATACTATGAATATATTTAATATCTTTAATTATGAATTCATGTTAAAAAAGAAGGGCAGATTCAACAGATGCAGGAATTTCACAGATAATCACCATGAAAACATAAATATTCTTCAACATTGGATAGGATATAAATAGCTTTAAATGCAGCTTCAAATATGTACAAGTTAGACAATGCTCAACGAAAGAAAAAAGGTGAAAGCCCATTTCTATAGGCCAGAACACCAACAGAGAAACTCTACTAATAACATCAAACACAAATTAAAAGACAGTTTTCAATTAAAAGACAGTTTTCAATTCTTCCGGGGAGCATTTGCTAACATGCAACACCTCCCAAATCACCTTGGAGCGACAATTATTGTGTAGAACAGCATTCCTATGAGTCCAAATCTTCCATACAGAATTTGCAAAAACAGATGCAAGGATATTGGCTTTGAAAGTAGTTATGGCAGTGGCTTGAGAAAACCAGACCACCAAACTGTCAAGGGATGAGAAAACCAGACCACCAAACTGTCAAGGGATGAGAACGGGCCAACACTGATGCTCAGTTTGTCAAAAACAGCACTCCAAACTAACTTGGCAAAGGAACAAGAACAAAACAGATGATCATTGTCATCTGCTGCAGCATAACAATTACGGCAAATAGGAGGAAGACACATCCCTCTTCTCTGCAAATGTGTGAAGGAAAGGTTCCTATGCTGCATAATGAAAGAGACGATCACTGATACCCTGGGCCTGCAGTGCTGCTTTCATAATCTTGTCCAATGGTAACACCTGATTCTTCACCCTGTATGCATTCCATGCAGCTTTCAGTGAGAAGGGGCCCTGTCGCCAAATAACAGTATCCGTCTCCATAGTAATAGAAAGAGAGGAGAGAAAGTCTTGCACATATTGAGGAAATTCAGCTGGGAAATGCCATTGGTCCTCAACAATAATACTACCAAGCTTAGCAGATTTGTCACATCTTCCAAAAGCAGTAGCACCAAAGTCAGATCACTGTTCAGTTCGCTGAGCTGACCTTTTGCCAATTGTTCGGCTTTAAAAGCTTTAATGCAAGCTTCTTTTGACTGAAGTTCAAAATAACAAATAAAAAAATGAAATGAAATAAAATAAATAGATAAATTACTTTTACCGTGCTTCTTATCAATATATTTATTTTTGTCTTGAACATGGGATGAACTTTAGTGCAAATCATATCAATTAGAAAAGAGAATTTTTGCCCTACAAAGATAAGATGAACTTTTGCCCTTCCAGGAGATTAAAATTAGTTTTAATTTAACACATTATTTCGTTGTTCTTTGCCAAAAATAAAAAAATAAAAAAATAAGGGATGGAAACTATAAAGCATGCAATGCTTATCATCTTCCAATAATCCAATTGCAGTTCTCAACTGAGTTTGTTACCGCTGACATTCATTCCCATCCTAATAGAAAGAAATTGTTCCTTTCTGACACAACCTTGGCCTCTAGGGACTAGCCTTCTCAAAATTCCAGTATTTCACCGTCATAAATTAAGAATATATTTTGATGACCCTGATGGAAATTGGTCCACTTCATACCCAGAACTGCAATCAATTGCTCAGTTTGATGGAGCACAAACAAATAACCAACTAAACTTTCAAAAATAGATATAAAACAGATGACAGACTAATATATGGTTAGGATTACCATAAATGATGTATGCAGAACAAAAAAAATATCAACATTCTGCAGGCCAACTTTGAGGGACAGACCCAGGAATTTGTGATGGGGGCAATAACAGGATTTTTTTTATTTCATGGGGGCAATATGAAAATTTCATATATAATTCAGAAAAAGAAAATTCACTAGTATTAATACTATAAATAAAAAAAATTCAGTGGGGGCAATTCATTAGGTCCGTCCCTACCAACTTTGAATCTTAATACTCATCTTATTATGAACTTAAAGGCCTAGGCTCACCACAGTGATGTGCGACTATTAGCCAAATTTAGCGACAACCATAACATTCAACTAACTTGTCTTGCCATCAAGACATCTTTTAGTTCTTTTACATTCAGTAATTCATCTGCCAGTATAATGCAGCACATTTTCTTCAAAAAGTTTTACAATTGTAGAATTCAGATTACAGTATGTTTGTAGTGCCTGTTTGAAAAACTAAGCCGCATAATATAAATAATGCAAATATGTACATCATCTGATATACAGAAGTTATGCAAGCTTGAAGGGCATATTCCAATCACTATTGAAAATATAGAATAATTGGAACAAGATGGTTGTAGATTCTAACAAGTATCTCAAGGATTGAAAGAACAAAAACACATGAGAATATTATCATCAGAAAACCATAAAATCGTCCTCTCCTTAACTAACATTTCTAGTTCTTATTTCAGAATACCTATCAAAAGTTGTCAGTAGCATGTCATGAGATAAAGTAAATGCCTAAATTGCAGAACATAAAGCAACAGATGTACATAAATATCAAATTGAGTTTGCAGAGGTTGAACAGGCAATAGTAATAATTACATCATACAAATAAAACAGCTAGAGCAATAAATATTAAAAAATGCATATTCAGTTCATTCATTACTAACCTGATTGACGTGTACAATATGATCATTGCCATCAATATCAGATTTCTCTAAAATATTCCGAAGGTATGATAATTCCTTAATCAACTGCAAAACTACCTCTTCAGTATATTGCATCTGATTTCTGGAGAACTCAAATGCTCTGTCAGCATGGAGATGAAACGAAGCATAGTTCAGACAGTTGTAGAGCCCTCTGCATCCACATGGATTCCTCTTAAGAATCCCCCTTGGAGGACAATTGACCAGAACTCCGGAAGGAACAAATGCTTGGGAAGAATTTTGATAAAATCTGACTGCTTCAATTGGCATTGCATCTTTAGAAAAATCCGCCTGTGATACTTTGTCATTTTCTTTAGTAATAATTGATAAACAATGAGAGGCTTCTGATACACCATCTCGTGGCAAAGTTACAGGACTGAAAGGAGAGCATAACGACATAGATATTGATGTTGTTTCATGAATCAAACTCACTTTATCATGGTTAGGCTCCAATTTCTCGGGTGCATCTGATTTAACCTGTTCAACTTGCAATATCCATTCCTTCTGAAAATCAGGACTCTGCACCTCAGTAGTCCTTTTAGCGGTAATAAGTTTAGCTCATTATTAGATGAACCTTCAGTGGGAGCCAATATGGAAAAACTTTCTGTTTTACATGAATCTATGGGGGTTTCTTGACATAGCTGTGGTTTTTCCTCAACAATCTCAACTTGCGACCATGGGTAGAGTCGTGAACACAAGATGATCATATGGTCCTACCATACAAAAACAGCATATTTTTAGTGTGATCAGACAAAACTGTGACTATAATTACACAAGTACAATGACTAACTTAGACCATTTAAGACGCCTTCTAAGTAATTTACAGAAGGAAAATAAAAATATAAAAAGACCTTCTAAGAAGTGAATTACTCATGAAAGAGTAATCTAAATATATAGAACTGATTTATAAGGTATTAAAAGAATCAGCGCAATATGATAGTGATAAGCTAAGTCAAATAATTCTTGTCAATGGGTGTCGGTCTCACGCTTCCAGCGTGCTCCCACTCTCATGTTTCACACGCGCTCTTGCTCCTAGTCTCACTTTGTTTGACTTAAATTTTGTCGTTTTCGCGTTCTCACTTCCGCTCCCATTTTATGTGACTTAGGACTGATAAGAAACAATAAAAGGAAAAGCCAATAGTAAATAATTTACAAATTCGTATTTATGGAAACATAAGAGACTCAAAACATTAACACATATAACTAGCATGTAGCTCAACAACCGCTAAACTTCACTCTGTTTGTTTCAAAATGATCTAGTATTTTTCCTTCCTATTTCTTGTGTTTTCATGATCATATTGAAAACAGTTGCATTTTTTGCCGAGACATTCATCAAACAGTGCATGGACATTCATAACACACTTAGAAAATAGACAATGTGTTAGCAATGGCTATTTGATATTGTCATGTTATATGGGCTGGGCTGCCTAGTTTTGGGCTTGTTGTAATGGGTTTCTCTTTGTTTGTCTTTCGGCTTGGTTAGCTTGTGCCAGTTTCTTGTTTGGCTCTAGCTCCCCTGTAAATTATTACACTCCACTTATTTAATATAATTTGCTTAACTCCAATAGTTATTACCTAAGAAGAGACATATCATCTAAGCTAACGACTCCAGTGATACTACATAATAAATTAACATGCAAAATAATTGCAAGTCTCATAAATGGCGTGTAATTGTTAAATTATCTCTTTAACTTTTTCCTTGTGAAGACTTGGAAATATTAGAAGTGTCTTAACAATTTAAAAAAAAAAATTCCTTGTAAGTGGCTAAGACAACTGAGACACGGCATGGATACGAAAAAGACACGTTTTGGACACTTTCAAGACATAGCAAGGTGGTTTTGTGACTTAATTTTTTTTAGAAGAATGGGATTCAATACAATTTAAAAATATATTATGGATTAATTAGAAGAATAATAATTTAAGAGAACAAAAAAGAACAAATATCTACCCTAAATCTCCAAAATCTCCAAATTAGTTATTTCATTCATGATTTGTGTGCATGAAATGAGTGAAAATTATTATTATTTTTATATAATATTATATATATATATATGTGTGTGTGTGTGTGTGTGTATGTATTCCTGCCATATTCGTGTTCTACTTTTTTTATAAAAATCCTTCAGTATTGCATCCTGATGTCATGCTTAAAATTTACTTAAATTTAAATTTTATCCTTACAATTTTCTCCATATGTTATAATGGTAAATGGGACAATAAAAATATAATGGGTATAATTGTCATTTCAAATATACATCTATCTCTCAAAGGAAGATTTGGAACCGCTTCCACCACCATACCAACCATTATCTCATCCCAGCAGTGTTGCCAACCCATTAATCGAAGATGCATGTTCTTAGAATAATGACTAATGTTATGGATTCAAAAGTACTAATTTTTCCATAAAATGTTAGTCTTGACTCGTTAAAACGCACTAATTTATGAACACAAGAACAGAAATATAATAGAGGTATCAACTTGCAAGCAATAATGTCATACTCATAATCCCAGTTTGAACATTAATTGGAGAAACATATTCACTAATTTCATTAGCAATGTTAGTGTTACATTGGTATGGATTGTGTGTAAAATTACCAATGTCAGTGATGCTATGTTTGGTGGCACTAAATATAAAATTTAGTACAAATTGTGAACTAAACTTTTTCCAATCCCAAAATTAATGCACCGATTTGATACTCTCAAAGTATAAGAGTGTTAAATTGGCGTGAATTTGACCACACACAAAATAAGAGAATCACATCGGTGTTTATTTGAAGTGTGAAACCTACCAAATTCGTATACATCATTTGAATTCTTTAGCATGTTGTTGAACTTAGAGCTTCTCAAACCACATGCCTCGAGTCCAATGGTATAACCTCTTCTTAAAGCTTCTTGAGCAAAGATCTCTCTACTCCAGACATTTCACATAAATTTTAACACTATGCTACACTAACCATGACAAAAAGGTGTTTCATGACCTGAATGTAATTTACTCTTAAGTTAACAGGGGACATCAATTTTGAAATGAAGTGTCATGTAATAAAATTAAATAAAAACAGCTAATACAAAAATAAATCTTTTAAAAAAAGAATGAACAAAGAATCTGGAATAAAAGAAGTATTGGGTTTCAGTAAACTAACGGGATACAAATTTCATCTAGTGGAATTAAATCTAGAATGCTACACCACGCAATAACATTGCATCAATAATATAATACAGAGTACTATTAAATTAAAGATGCAAAAATAAGTAAATATATATATATATATATATATTGATGGCAAGAAGTGCACACACCCATCCTAACACACTTTTTGCTTACACCTGGGCTTCCCCTCCTCTTTGAGGATAAGAGAGAAAGGGAAATTATACCATTAGACTAGATGCCCGCGGATAAAAAGTAAATGTTGAATACACCCAAAGTAAATACGTTGAATACACCCAATGTAACATATTACTCCCAATTGTTATGTTCAAAAAATAATAATTTGTTGCATGAGAGTTTATATTATTTTTGCATTTAAATTGGACTTAAAGGTCTAGAGAACTGTCAATGACCCATATTCAAAGTTGGTGAGATGGGAGGGAATGGAAGCAATTACATAAGCAGTTAGCCTTGGCTCGTTTTAACGACCACTTCCCTAGTTGCCTTCCTCTAGTCACAATTTTACTCTCTCTATAAATACCCTTCTTAGCACTTGCTCTGTTGCCATCTATATCGATATATAAATATATATATAGAGAGAGAAACAGAGATCTATACAGAAAATGGCGAGAGTGAGGAGGATGAAGCTAGGTTCACAAGGTCTTGAAGTATCAGCACAAGGACTGGTCTGCATGTGCATGTCCTTCAATGGTCCTCCGAAGCCCGATTCCGACATGATCGCCCTCATCCACCACACCATTAACTCCGGAGTCACCTTACTTGACACTTCCGACCGCTATGGTCCTTTCACCAACGAAATACTCATTGGCAAGGTACATATATATATATATATATATATTCACTCCTATTTGCACGTCAACTTACATTAATTAACAGTAATATTATAGATAATTGATGGATCAAATTAATTTATGATCAGGCTCTGGGAGGGTTTAGAGAGGGTTGAATTAGGCACGAAGTTCAGTAGCATCCATTCCGAGGGCAAGGTACGTGGGCGTGGTGATCCAGCGTATGTTTGGGCCACCTGCGAGGGCAGCTTGAAGCGCCTCGTCATCAATTGCATCGATCTCTATTACCAGCATCGCATTGACACTAGCATCCCCATCGAAGTCACAGTGCATACATCCTATTCGCTTTGCTTTCTGTTTTGTATTATTTTTAATTCATGATAAAAATTGATTGATCGTGGTCCATTTCTTTCACTCATGCTTAGTGATTGATATAGGAATTTGAAAATGTGGAAACGAGTATGGGCCAACTTTCTTTTTTTTTTTCTTTTTCTTTTTCTTTTTTAAGTTCAGACCATTCTTTTCATTATTCTGTGTCAAATCTAGCCTGTTCTAGTAAGCATAATATTTTCTGGTATTCTTCCTTTCTGTCAATGAACTAACTTTTTACTTTTGAATGTAATACTAGGCTATCTACACCTGCCCCAACCCAAAGGAAGCAGTTAAAAATATTTTGATTTTCTTTTTAAAGTTGTATGATTACACTAAAGATATACTTCTCTTACCCTATCATATTTGCATCTCTTTTTCAAACAAGAATTTAGTATTTACGCGATCCCTAATCCGTTTTATGTCATGCACTCATGTTTATGCCAGATGGGAGAACTCAAGAAACTCATTGAAGAGTGTAAAATAAAGCATATAAGTTTATCCGAGGCCTTTGCTGCAACAATCAGAAGGGCACATGCAGTTCATCCAATAACAGCTGTATAGTTGGAGTGGTCATTATGGACAAGAGATGCACAGGAAGAAGTTATTCCTACTCACAGGTAACGCAATAGCGGTGCTAATTGCTAACTTATAATTTAGGAAGTACCAGACAATTTTAAGTTCTAATATCATCCACCTTCATTTTGCAGAGAACTCGGCATTGGGATTGTTGCAGACAGTCCTCTAGGACAAGGATTCCTGTCTTCAGGTCCCAATATGGTTGAGGAGTTGTCGGAGTGGTGACATCCGTAAGGTTAGTGCATACGCATAATATTTTGAGTTTAGAATGACTTATGTAGCAGAGAGCATAAGAAAAATTATTAACATTATCACTATATAGTATTATGGATGTCCAGAATATTCTTTTTGACCTCCTCTTCCATTAATGGTCATATCAAGCTTTCAAAAAATTTCTTATCCTCACTTAATATCTTCACTGAGTAATTAACGTTCCACAAGAACTGGATTCCATTCCTTTCTTCTTCTTGTTTTTATCTATGTAACATTTAATTTCTCTAATCTCTACATACTTGGAAAACAAAGCTTATTGTTTAATCATGATCAGGAACCAAATTTGTTTACTGAGAATATGTTAATCTATGTCCACTTGTAACAATATTTATATGATAGGTGTGGGCATTGAATTTGTATAAATCATGCCGGTAAGAACTTGAGGAGAGTGGTTATAGGAGGAGAGGAACGAGAGGAGAAGAGAGAGGTGACTGAGATCTAGGGTTAATGCCTTAATGGTGAGAGGACACCTTGTTCCTAAATGGAGCGGCTATTTTTCATAAGACCTCATGCGTAGCCTAATAAGCACAATTTGAAGGATAGCTAAGATGATAAGGACACAATGTCCAGTGAATTTTCACTCTCAAAGAGGAACACGTGTCCTGTAATCTCTTTCCAGTCCCTCATCAGATTTGATTTTGCTAGCTAGTGATGACAAGGAGTCGCCTTCACAATGGGGTTGATCTCTGCTCCATCACTCCTTCAATAGTACTTTCGCCGTGATCCATGAAACCACAACCTCCTTGAATCCTCCAAAGAGTGATGTATCAAGGTATGACATGCTTAGGCAGTGTTGTCAAGGAGTAGGACAATATGCCTAAATTTAGTCCTTTTAATGCTGTGCATTTGCAGTTCTTGCACACTGAAGTATATATTTCATCTTTTGCAGGTTCTGCCAAAGTTCCAACCTCAGAATGTTGAGCATAAATGCTATGGCAGCAAGGAAGGGATGCACGTGCACCCCATCACAGCTTGCAAGGAAATGATGTGTGCCCCATACCCGGCACCACTAAGATTGAAAACTTTAACCAAAACATTGGTGCTCTATCCGTGAAGCTAACGAAGGAAGAAATGGCCGAACCCGAAGCCATTGCTTCAGCTGATACTGTTAAAGGTGATAGATTTAGGGCATTTCAATCACTTGGAGGGAATCAAACACTCCCCCAATGTCCTCGTGGAAGGGCGAATAAACAAACCCCCATTGTCTTTGTGGAAAGGTGAATAAGGGCACGACTCTGCCTCCTCTAGTTCCTCGAGGACCAGTGTTGTAATGATTTTGTAGTGTTTTGAAACTCGTTGGGTTCTATATTTCCTGGTTTTCAGAAAAGGTGTATTTTCCACAAGTGCCTGGCTTGTGTTCAAGAATATAATAAATAGAATATATATGTACATATGTGTGGTTATTCATGTATATGCACATATTTGTATATAAACGTATGTATACGTATTGCAGTAAAAACTACAGAATACAGCAGAAACAAATGTCAACAAATCAGCTTTGTGACTTTGCAATCTGTATATTTTGATGCTTCAACGAAGTGTGATGTGCTTTTTAATAGTGTAAAAAAGCCCGCCAAACTTTACTATGTTTGTTTCAAAATAATTGGTAGCACTTTTCCTTGCTATTTCTTGTGTTTTGATGAACATATTGAAAACAGTAAGCAATTTTTGGCTGAGACATTCATCAAGCAGTGCGTGGACACTAATAATGCATTTAGAAAATAGACAATTTGTTAACTTTCATTTGCATATTCCCATATATGTATCAGTGAAAGAAATGGAAAAGATCAATCTTTTATCATAAATTGCATTTATAATACAAAAGAGAAAGCCAAGTGTTTTGTACCGTGATCTTCGATAGGGATGCTAGTGTCGAGCCGCTTTAAGCTGGCCTCGCTGGTGGTCCGGACGGACATACACCGGATCACCACGAATTTGAATCTTCTCGTTGGAAAAGCTGCAACCGAACACAAATTAATTTCATTAATTAGGTGAAAATTTTGGGTTAATTACATTACGTAGAGCGTATGAATGTAAAAAGTGTTAAATCTACGTTGGCGATGAGGAATTCGTTGATGAGAGGACGGTGGACGTCGTAGGTGTCGAGGAAGGTGACGCCGGAGTTAATGGGGGTGTTGGATGAGGGCGATCATTTCGGAGTCGGACTTCATCCTCCTCACTCTCTCCATCTACTCTCCTGTATAATATATACATATATATATATGTCAATATAGTGGTTTTTATAGAGAGAGAGAAAGAGAGTGAAATTGTGAGAGACTACACAAATTGGTAGGGAAGGCAGACATGAAAGAGTAAAAGTTGGGAGTTTCAGAGGGACGTCCACGGTAAGCTTCTGGTGAGACTCAAAGCGAATGAAAAGACACGTGGAAGGTAGGAGGGGTACTGTGGGACACTGAAGAATTACGAGGGTGTTTTGGTAAAAGCAGATGCAGAGGTTGAGGGCAAAATGGGAAAAATATAGCTAACTCTACATAAATACGAGTAGCCTACGAACCACGGACTATTGCAATCTAATAAGGGCCAATCCGGTTCTAATATACTCCCTTTGTCCCAATTTAGATTTCAGCAATACGAGTAGCCTACAAATCACGAATTATTGCAAACTAATAGGGACCAATCTAGTTCTAATATACTCTCCCTGGCCTAATTTAGATATCGGCTTCGGAAACGAGCCGACGTCTAAATTTAGATGGAGGTAATATATATATATATATATATTTAATATCCAAACAATGATTGCTGTTAGAAGTATAATATTGTATCTTTAGCATCAATTAAATTGAAAACAGAATTCATATTATTATTGCACTATGTATTTTATTACATAATAATACAGAGTAACATATTTTTAAAAATACAATACTTGTCTACTCCCCAATGAGTGAAAAGTTCATGTTTATTCCTGATGTGGCGTAAAAATAATATGACAAATGTTCATAAAATAGAAAATGATAAAAATTAAATGTTTATCGATCAACCCTAAAAAATGCAAATCAACTCTTAATCTAACTGTTTCTCTCTATGTATAAAGTTAAACTTAGGGACCTATTAAAGTAAAAATGTCAAGTAGCATGGCAATAAAGTCTAACTAACCTAGTTAAATGAGTGGATTAAAATTCTCTCCACTGCTATAGTCCTCTTGTCCGAGCCAGTAAACATTGCTTGACTCTTGTTGAGCCACGTCGCTGTCCAAACAAGTCAGAAAAAAATTCACTATATTAAGCTACTTATTATACAAATACATAAATAAATATATCTTGGTACAAACTGTACATCCCAACTTTCTCCTTACTAACATCCTAACTTTCTCCTTACTAACATCCCACTTATTATACAAATATATAAATAAACATATCTTGATATAAATTGTATATCACAACATTTTCTTAACTTACATTTCAACTTTCTCCTTAGAAACGTCCTAACTTTCTCCTTACCAACATCCCACTATTCACCTCTTTATCTTGTTTGGGATACATGTTAGAAAAATGTTAGAACGTTGACCTTACAGTACAACATTTTCCTAAGTACATCTCAACTTTTTCTTTACAATCATCCCACTATTTATCTTTTTATTTTGTTTGGGGTACATGTTAGGAAAATATTAAAACGTTGGCCTTGAAATATTTGCAACAGAATTGACTCACCAGTTAATCCATTGGGATTACATATATTTGTTGCAAATACAAGAATTGACTCACCAGTTAATCCATTGGGATTATTACATATAAGTGGTATTAATGACTTATATTTACCATTTCATGGAGTCAAAGTCTCATAGTTTTGAAAAAATAAAGTTGGTCAAAATGCTTGAACGTATAAAAATATTATTCATTTACCAAAAGATACCACTTTTAGGCATATAGGTATCACTTTTTGTACACACGGATACCACTTTTTGTCATCAGTTACTTTTGTGGTGTACAAAAAATGGTACATGTGTGCATAAAAAATGATACCTATGTGCATAAAAGTAACACCTGCACAAAAACAAAAGTGGTACCTGATGACAAAAGGTGATACCTGATTGCCTAAAGTGATACCTTTTGGCAAATGAACAATGTTTTTCTATATCCATGTCAACACCTTTTGACAAAATGAACAGTGTTTTTCTATGTCGGCATCAGAATTTTGGTCAATTTTATTTTTTCAAAATTATGAGATTTTGACTCCATTATATAATAAATGAGTCATTAACCCCATTTATATGTAATAATCTGTAATCGTTTCTTCTATTTTGAAAATATTTATGTAGAGAAAATAAGATATGGGCCATTCAAACTATCAACCCAAAAGGAATTCATCTACTCTCCTGTATAATATATATACATCTGTGTGTGTGTGTGTGTGTGGATATAATGGTATTTATATAGAGAGAGAGAGTGTGAAATTGTGAGAGACTATATACAAATTGGTAGGAGAAGGCAGAGACATGAAAGAGTGAAAATTTTGGACTTTCGGAGGGACGTCCACGGTAAGCTTCTGGTGAGACTCAAAGGGTAAGCTTCTGGTGAGACTCAAAGGGTAAGCTTCTGGTGAGACTCAAAGCGAATGAAAAGACACTTGGAAGAAAGGAGGGGTACTGTGGGAAACTGAAGAATTACGAGGGTGTTTTGGTAAAAGCAGTTGAATAGGTTGAGAGCAAAATGGGAAAAAAAAGTAGGACCATTTTCTCAATTTTTTCGCGTCATCCTTGCGCAAAGCCATGCTAATTTTCTCTGTAAAGTTCCAATTTTAACGAATGTCTCCGAAGGGGCAATACTTTGATGGTGAGCAAAACATATATTAACTACAAATAATTTTCTTATTTTACCAATGTGGGACACCTTAGCTCTTTGAAATACTTGCTTTACAAAGCCTATTAGCCTACAGCTTAACTCTACATAAATACGAGCAGCCTACAAACTACAGATGTCCAACATAGATATATAACATCCAAAAAATCACTATTGTTAGGAGTATAATACTATATCTTTAGCATCAATTAAATTGAAAATACAATACATTCATATTATTATTGCAGGATGTATTTTATTATGTAATACTAATATAGAGTAATATATTCAAGAAATACACGTAAATATATCCTATTGTGATGAAATCTAAATAAATATATGTATACAAAATTTATACCCCGAGCATACGCAATGGAGATATAGACAGTCAAGTGAAATTCAATCCACGAAATAATTTGATTTATGGACGATATCATTGTGGATCGAAATACCAAAAGAATCATTACCGCATAATAAATATGAGAGGTCATAAGCGTATATATCGTAAAATTAATTTTTGACGGAATAAAAAAGACATATATGATAGAATCATATTTTATAATACAACTCTAATCCAACTGCATACATTTGCTCATTTTGCCCTCAACCTTTGTATCCAATTAATCGATTGCTCTATTCAACTACTGCTAACATTCTGTAAGTTAAATTGTGATTATACTTACACATGTGCAATGACTAACTAGACCATTTAAGCCGACTTCAAAGTAATTTACAAAAAAAAAAAAAAAAAATGAAGAAGAAACATTCTAAGAACTGAATTACTATTCATGAAAGAATGAGTAATCTAAATATTTAGGATTCATTTAACAGGTATTAAAAGATTTAGCAATATGATAGTGAGGAGAAACAATAGAAAGGACAGCCAATATTAAATAATTTACAAATCCGTATTTATGGAAACACAAGACACTCAAAACACATCGAAAAATAGTTGCTTTTTTGGCTGAGGCATTCATCAAGCAGTGCGTGAACATTCATAATACACTTAAAAATAAAAAACATAAATCATAATACACTTGGAAAATAGCCGGTGCATGGACATTTATGAGTAAAAGAAATTGGAATATGATCAATATTTATCATAAATTATAATAAAATAAAAAGAGAAAACAAAGTGTTCTTAATAAACAATCTTAATGAATTCAACGCTTAAAATTAATACATAACCAAACAAAATTTTAAATTAATACATTCAATGTTTAAAATTTAGTACATAAAAATTTTAGCACTTAATTTTTCATTTTATCAAAATGGAGGTTCAGTGACTTATTATTGAAGAAATCTTGTTCACCAATTTTTTTTTTTTTTTTTCACCAAAACTTGACATTCATCTTATTTTAGCCTTTTTAGCCCTTCAGAGAGATGTGAGGGACTCCCAAATGCCTAATAGGTATAGTTCCAAATTTCAAAGAGTATAGAAAGAATTTGAACTCCAATTAGATTTTTTTTTTTCCTCTCTCGAAAGATTAGCTCCAATAGTTATTATTTAAGAAAGAGTCATCATATCATCTACTTAGTCATATTACATAAAATAATTATAGATGTCATTTTACCTTTTTCTTTGTGAAGATCTAAAATGCACATTCACCCTAAAACAGCTGAGACACAGTATGAACATAAAATGTATATTCAAAACCCAACATAATAGTCTTATAACTATTTTTTTTTTATTTAAAAAAAAAAAAAGGTATGAGATTCAATACAATTTATAATATATTATAAATTAATTAGAAGAATAATAATTTAAGAAAACAAAAGACTACAGATATCTACCCTAATCTCTAAATTAAATTAGTGATTTTACTCTTAATTTGTGTCAATAAAATGAGTGAAAATTATACTTATTTTTATTATATTACATATACATATATATATATATATATATATATATATACTTGATGTATTCATGTTCAACATTTTTTAAATTTGTTTGTAATGCTCATGTATCCCGGGAAATTTCGAAAGTGCCCAAATAAAAAACTTTTAATAGCAGACAATTATACCCTTATATATATATATTATCTAATTATACATAGCTTGTTTCACCTCTCCATCGTACCCTATATATATTCTCCATTGTTCACATATCTCATCCGAACAGCGTTGCCAACCCATTAAAATCCAGGATGCCTGTTTATAGAACAATGTCATGAATTCAAAAGTACTAATTTGTTCCTAAAATATTAGTCCATCGCTTGAATCAAACCACCAAAAACATAACAAAATCCAAAATTCCAACCACTACACAATTCTCTGCTCTTACTAAACATCACCATATATACAAACCCACAAACGAAAAATATATCAATCCATCCAACCCCAACTACATAGGTAAACTCAAAACAGAAATTTAAGCGATCTCAACATAATAATAATAATCAGGATTTAGACATTCTCTAAACGAAACAAATCATCTATAATCAGCTTCCAAGTTCTCTGAACGGACTTTGCCACCTGAAAATATAAAACCATGAGATACATTTAAAAAACATAGAATATATATATATATATATATGTATGTATGTTGCATCTATCATTCCATCTATAAGGTTTCTTTTGGAAAACTTCGGCAAGTTCACGCTCATGTGGAGTATAATTGGGGTCAGTCAACATAATCTAGAACAAAGCTTCCCCAGAAGCTTTTAAGTGATACACGCGTCCCACATATCCTTATCTTGTACTAATACATACTTAAATGTATATAAGTTATTATATTTAGTGTTAACCCTACCAAATTTTTATACCAGCCTTGGCATGGTATTGCGGTTAAAATGGTCATTTCCTATCTTTTTTTGGTAAGAAAAAAAATATAAAAAGGAATAAATATGACATTTCAAAAAAATTTTAAACGCGGTTCAAATAAACATAAAATAAATTTTTTTATGAAAAGCTAATGTTAGAAGAATTTTTTTGTTAGAAAAGAACAAATAAATAATCTGAAATAAAAGAAGTAGTAAGGTTTTGGTGACACTGAGGAATCAAAATTCATTATCCTTCAAGACAATTCAATTCAAAATTTTATGTCATACCATTATATCAATAACACAACACTACTAAATTAAAAATTGAAATAAAATGTAAATTTGTTGCAAACATGATTTAGGCGTCGCATTATTACATCAACTTGATTGCAACATTTTATTGAAAGTGTTCCTACTACATTTTAGAAATGATAAGTTGCACGAGAGTTTACATTATTTTTGCATTTAAATTGGACTTAATCGTCCAATGCCACTGTAAATGACACCCAAATTCAAAGTTGAGTTGTGAGAGAACGATTACGTAAGTAGTTAACCTTTAACGACCACTTCCCTAGTTCCTGTAGTCACACTCTCTCTCACAGTCTCTATAAATACCCTTCTTAGCAGTTGCTCTGTATTCTGTATCAACCATATTGATATATATAATATAATATATATATATATATAGAGAGAGAGAGGTGTATATACCATATACAGGAAATGGCGAGAGTGGGGAGGATGAAATTAGGTTCACAAGGTCTAGAAGTATCAGCAAAAGGACTAGGCTGCCTGGGCATGTCCTTCGCCTATGGCCCTCCAAAGCCCGTTTCCGACATGATCGCCCTCATCCACCACGCCATTAACTCCGGCGTCACCTTCTTCAACACCTCCAACTACTATGGTCCCTTCACCAACGAAATCCTCATCACCAAGGCACATATACATATATACATTCACTACTTGATCCCTGACTTCTATTTGCTCTGCCTACTATAATCTAATCAATTAGTCGAATTAATTTATGATTAGGCTCTGAAGGGAGGGTTTAGAGAGAGGGCTGAATTAGGAACGAAGTCCAGTAGCTTCTTTTCCGATGGCAAGGTGCATAGGCGCGGTGATCCGGTGTATGTTCGGGCTGCCTGCGAGGGCAGCTTGAAGCGGCTCGACATCAATTGCATAGATCTCTATTACCAGCATCGCGTTGACATTACTGTCCACATCGAAGTCAAGGTACCTACTATTCTATTCGCTTTCTGCTTTGTGTTATTATAATTTATGATAGATATAAGAAGTTGAAAATCAACAAATTGTTTGTTTTCCAATTGTCCACGCACTGCTTGATAAATGTCAGCCAAATGCAACTGTTTTAAATGTGTTCATCAAAACACAAGAAAGAGGAAGAATATATTAAATCAATTCAAACAAATTGAGTGAAGTTTAGCATCTTTTTTACACGGCTGGTACAATGGGAGGAGAAAGAAACTAAAGATATGCTCTCATATGGTATGATCTTGTGTCCACTTCACTTAACTATCATATTTGCATCTCTTATTCGACAGAGTATCAACGCGTTCCCTAATTCGTTTTATGTCATGTACTCATGTTTATTCCCTAGATGGGAGAACTCAAGAAGCTGGTTGAAGGGGGTAAAATAAAGTATGTAGGTTTATCCGAGGCCTCTGCTTCAACAATCAGAAGGGCACATGCAGTTCATCCGATAACAGCTGTATAGTTGGAGTGGTCATTATGGACAAGAGATGCAGAGGAAGAAGTTATTCCTACTTGCAGGTGAGGCATTAGTGGTACTAATTGTTAACTTATATGTTAGGACGTAACAGACAATTTTAAACTCTAATTTTATCCACCATAATTTTTCAGAGAACTCGGCATTGGGATTGTTGTATATAGTCCTCTAGGACAACGATTCCTGTCTTCAGGTCCCAAGATAGTTGAGAAATTGTCAAGTGGCGACATTCATAAGGTTTAATACTTATGCAGTGCCTGCGTGTGAAGGAGTGGGACAATATGCCTAAATTTGTTTCCTTTTGATGCTGCGTGTTTGCAGTTCTTTCACACTGAAATATATATTTCATCTTTTGCAGCTTCTGCCAAAGTTCCAACCTGAGAATGTCGAGCATAACAAGAACTTGTTTGAGCAAGTAAATGCTATGGCAGAAAGCAAGGGATGCACACCAGCACAGCTCACATTGGCCTGGGTCCATCACCAAGGAAATGATGTGTGTCCCATACCCGGCACCACCAAGATTGAAAACTTTAACCAAAACATTGGTGCTTTATCCGTGAAGCTAACGAAGGAAGAAATGGCAGAACTCGAAGCCATAGCTTCAGCTGATGCTGTTGAAGGTGATAGATTTGGGGGCATTTCAATCACTTGGAGGGAATCAAACACTCTCCCATTGTCCTTGGGGAAAGGCGAATAAACACACGCCTCTGCCTCCTCTAGTTCCTTCGGTCCAATGTTGTGATAATTTTGTATTGTTTTAGAACTTGTTGGCTTGTGTTCAAGAACAGAATAAATAGAATAACTTCTGCAAGTAGGAATAACTTCTTACTCAGAATCTCTTGTCCATAATGACCACTTCAACTGTACGTCCTTCTGATTGTTGAAGCAGAGGCCTCGGATAAACCTACATATTTTATTTTACCCTCTTTATATATGTGACAGGGGAAGAGACATGGACACAAGATGGTCATATCATACAACAGCATATCTTAATTGTGATTACACAACTTTTAAAATAACCTCAAAATATACTTAACAGCTTCCTTGGGGTTGAAGGAGGGGTCAACAGCCTACTTAACAGCTTCCTTGGGGTTGAAGGAGGGGTCAACAGCCTACAACTCTGTATGAAGGTAAGAGATGTTTACCAAATGGTCATTATGAATTAAAATCCATGGACAGAAGAGAAGAGAACCAGAGAATATCATGCTTACTAAACCAGTCAGGATTTGACAATGAGTAAGAATAATGAAAAGAAGAAAAGAAATAAAACCCTTCTAAGAACTGAATTACTTATGAAAAAGCAATCTAAATATTTAGGACTGCTTTAACACGTATTAAAAGAATCAGGTGATAAGAAACAATAGAAAGGAGAGCCAATATTAAATAATTTACTAATCCTTATTTATGGAAACAAACAAGACTCAAAACATTAAGATATAACTAGAAATTAAATTCACGTAGCTCAACCACCGCTAAATTTCACACCGTTTGTTTCAAAATGATTTAGAATTTTTCCTTCCTATTTCTTGTGTTTTGATGAACATATTCAAAACAGTTACATTTTTGGCTGAGACATTCATCAAACAGTACATGGACACTTATAACACACTCAGAAAACAGACAATTTTGTTGACTTTCATTTGCATATTCTCAAATTCCTCCTATACATAGATCAACATAAAAGAAAAAGAGAGTGTTTTGTACCGTGACTTCTATAATGATGCAATCAATGTCGATCTGCTTCGAGCTTACGCAGGTTTACCGCGAATTTGAATCTTCCCATCGGAAAAGCTGCAACCGAACTTCGTTGAGAGCCTGATCCACAAATTAATTCATCAATTAGGTAAAAAATTAGGGTTAATTACAGTAAAAGTACGTTGAGAGCACATGAATTGTGTGAAAATGTTAAATTTACGTTGGCAATGAAAGTACTGCAGACGTCAGAAGTGCCGAGGAAGGTGACGCCGGAGTTAATGAGGTGTTGGATGAGGGAGGCGATCATGTCGGAGTTGGGCTTGGGAGGGCCGTAGAAGGCGGACATGCCCGTGCACCTCAGTCCCCGTGCTGATTACTTCTAGGCCTTGTGAACCTAGTTTCATCCTCACTCTCTCCATCTACTCTCCTGTATTATTATATGTGTGTGTGTGTGGATATAGTTGTATTTATAGAGAGTGAATTGTGAGGGACTAATACAATTTGTTAGGGGAACGCAGAGATGAAAAGTGGTGCAGATGGAGCTCCACGGTAAGCTTCTGGTGAGAAGCAAAGCGAACGAAGAGACACGTGGAAGAAAGCGGGGGTACTGTAGGAAACTGATGAATTAGGTGGGGGCAAAAAAGGTAAGAAAAAAATTTGGACCATTTCTCGATTTGTGCGTGTCATCCTTGCGCAGGGGCCATGCTAATCTTCTCTGTATCGTTCCAATTTTATCGGATGTCCCCGAAGGGACGATAGTTGGTTGTAAACGAAACATATATTAAGCGCAAAGACTTTAATTCTTTAACCGATGTGGGACATCTCAGCGCTTTGAAAAACGTGCTTACACAGCCTAGTAGCCTACAACATAACTTAGCCTACAACATAACTCTAAGTTAATAGCCTCCAACTTTTGTCGATCTAGATAGCCTTCTAGATGTCCAATTGTCCAACAATATTTTATTTTATTATTATTATTTATTTTTTAAAACATTAGAATAATTTATTGGTGTTAGAAGTATAATATATTTTTAACACCAACTAAATTGAAAATGCAAAACATTATTGCATTAGATTTAATATTAAATCCTCGACCTAATATTATTGCATGACATTATGTAATTGACTAATTGTAGAGAGTTGTTATAGAATCTATTAAAAAATAAATAAGAATTATAGGTTAAATGTTATCAATTCATCAATTGATTTAATTAATTTCTCTATATCTTTAGAGTAAAACTCTCATTCTACAATTATAAACCGATTAAACATAATTTAGCTGAAGAGTAGATGGGCTGGGTCATATGTGATTTCTTGATGAATGTCATCAAAGCACAACTTATGTTCTGAAAGGGAAGTAAATACATTGGTTCTAATTTTTAAGATAAATGACCCAAAATCTCTCTTTTCATAAAAAAAATATTCCTTGAAACCAAACGATTTTTTTTTTTTACTTTCCCATTAACTGATTTGATAATGAAACTAAAATTAATTACTATTTCTGCTTTCCTACATCCACATACCATGAGCTCAAGAATTCTTCCTCATGGAAGCAATTACGCTGAGTTGCAACAGATTACTGTGATTTTGTAGTTTGTTTCCGTACCTGCAGGTGAGTCATCTTCTGCAAATTAATCTACTTATAGAGGTATGGAAGGAAGTTCTTGAATTTAAAAGGTTTTAAAAAAACAAAAATAAAATATAATATATCGAATGTAACTATAGTAAATCTAGATATACAATTAAGGTTATAATGAAGATTGACAATCAGGAGGTACAGAAAAATGAACATTCCCATTATTTAGACTCACATATGAACACATATATTATAGATATTTGTTCTTTCAACAAAAGCTAGGCCTTTGCCAAAAAAAATAAATAAATAAATAAACAAACAAAAGCTAGGCATTCAAAGAAATTACACCATCTCTGAACTAGGGGTGATCACGAATCGGATCGGATCAGATCGGATTAGGCATCATTCCTAATCCGATCCGCTCACAACGGATTGGAGAATTTTGAATCCGCCACCAATCCGTTAGTCCACAAATCGGATCGGATCGAATCCGTAAAATGACGGATCGGATCCAATCCGCGGATTAAATTTTCTAAATTAATCTATTTTTTATTTTTTACCAATTTCATATCCAATTGCAGAAGTGTAAAATAGAACATAGATTAACCCAATTTAAATGCATAATAACAAGAATAGTAGTTATCCAAATTATCTGAAAAAATAGTAGGACTATGCCAATATTACATAACAGTAGCAGTGAAGTGAAATAAAAAAAGGGATAGTAGATCCATATGCCAAATATTACATAGCCAAAGGTCCAAAAGTAGCAGTGAACCAAATAGGCAAATATTACATAACCAAAGGTCCAAATATAGCAGTGAAGTGAAAAAAGAAAAAGAAAAAAGGAAGTAGCAGACTAGCAATGCAGTGAAAAAAAAGAGATAGCAGAACAATCTCCATGAATCTCCTCAAACCATAGACTATTAGTAAATACTTACCAAAAAAAAATAAAAAATAAAAAACGTCAGGTATGTGGCACACGGATTGCCACGGATAGGGTTGCTATATATTAATATTACATATATATATATATATATATATATATATATTTTACGGATTACCCACGGGTTGCCACGGATCGGATTCACGGATCGGATCTGATTTTTGACAGCCTAATCTGTGATCCGATCCGTGAACTACGGATTCAATTTTTTAGAATCTGCCACCGATCCGTAGGTCTGATAATCCTATCCGATCAGAACGGATCGGATCGGGTTCACGGATTGGCGGATTTTTCGCCCACCCCGACTCTGAACACTATGATAAAACACTACAAACTCACGAAGAAGTGTTTGTGCTTCCTATATGTTGCCTGATTATGGAGATGGTTTGGATTGTCAAAATATCAAATGGTCAAGCCGACACATCCAAAAAGACTCATTTTCGATCGAAAATGAGCCAATTCGTAAAAAGGTTGTTGAGCTACGCTGTTTTCTAAAATTCCATGCCCATAAATCGTGTATTTAGGATGTTGAATATTTCAAAAATTTTGTTAGAGGTTTAAACAAACTCAAATTCTTCTAATTTTTTGTATTTAGTAATTTTTTTGTAATTAGGTTTGTTGTCCTATTTTTTTCATTTTAGAGATTGTTGGATTTTAGGCTAATTTTTATTGAGAATTGAACACATTCTACAATCTCAATTTAATGGTCTTATATTGTTAATCTAAGAATCATGCTATTTGGCCCAACAAATAAAAAACATATTACTTCATCGAGTCTATGTGGCTACCCATGTGTTAAATATATGGGACCCATTTTAAAATATAAGGTAATTGATTATTTGGAAAGTTGTATATCTTAATTTAGTATCTTTGTTGGCAATTAAATTTTCAATCTCCATGTATATATATAGGTATTGTATATTTCAAATTGCATCTCTAAAAGAACCAATGAGATACTTCAGATTTTGTTTCTGATCATTAATATTTATCTTTTACTTTGATAGACATTTGTTAATTGTTATATTGATCAAAGTTAATAATCTATCTTACTCCAAAAAACAAAGAAGTTTTTTAAAAAAAAAATTGCAAAAGCATGGAAAAATTATAAAACATTCAAATTATTAAATTTGAGTACCATGAAGACTGTGAAAAAAATAATAATAATAAATTAAATGATATGACTGTGAAAAACTAAAGGATAAGAAAATGGGCTATAGAAAACTGTAAAGATAAGGAAAGGGAACGGAAGTATTTTATTAAAACATACAATAGAAGTAATGATATCTATTTAAGTTGAAATTTTGAAAAACCACGTCATATTTTTATGTCTATCGGTTTTAAGTCCATTTTCCTTAATCTAATGTTGTTGTATGATAGTTATTTTTTTATTTAATTGTTCCTAATCATCATGTATCCAAATATGTAAAGAGATTATTCTTAGCATCTCTTTTATTGTTATTATAGGAAAAATAAAAAAATAAATCTCGCGTCCTCATTTATTGATCTATTTAATGACATCATAAAATGTTTTTTTTTTTTTTAAATTGACATAAATTTTACCTTCTTTTTTTAAAAAAATCACGAGTTGTCTTTGATAGTTAAAGTTGTTTCCAATGATTAACTTTTGATTGAATAAATTTTATATAATTCTGACCAATTATAATTTGACAAATAAATAAATATATCAATTTTATTTAAATTTTTGTTTATATATCAAATTATCGTGACCATCTAATAATTCTTGGAAAGACATTTGTTTCACAAGGTTCTTACAGAACTTTTCAAATACTAAAACCTATATTTTCATTTATTTCATTATATATTTTATGAAGATCAATTTCATGTTTGAGACATATAAATAAAAGTTATTTTCTAATTATTCTAATACACAGTCTTTTCTTGCATTCATTGTCCAAAACACAGTATATATGTATATATCAAACATGATATAAGACCTTGATTCCTTGAATATCATCCATACTTATATCTTTTGTCACACCATTGTTGGCCACATAATAGCATTTCCAACTGAGCTATGCCCGAGTCCAAGAAGGTGACCAATTTCATGCAATGCAACAGTTTCCAAGTCAAAATTACCTGGTACTGCACCAAGGCTCCATTTCTCATCTGCATCATAGCTCTCGAGACACCCATTCTGCCATCGCGACTCGTACCGGGTAGAAATCCAAAGGTGATTTGGGTTTTAGAAGGTGGCCAGTTAGGGTTTTGGGGAGGAAACTATAATGAGAGACTATGGAGATGGGTTGCACCATGTTGGTTCACTTTCTTGCCCAACTGCATCCAATTAGTCCCGTTGACAATATCCGGTAGGCCACACCGGGGCATCATCATCATTGTTGAGCCTACCGGGGCATCATCATCATTGTTGACGATATCCGGTATGCCACACCGGGGCATCATCGTCATTGTCACCGTAGTAGTATCTACGATTCCGGGGGCATCATCATCATTGTCACCGTAGTAGTACCTACAATTCCGGTGACATTGAGGTTGTAATTGAGCTGGTATGACATTGAGGTTGTACTTGAGCTGGTATGCATCATCAAAAACAACGTTGCAAATGCTTGTTATTTTTTAGAATCATTTATGAGCTGTGAATGACAGTTCTGGGGATATTTTTTTGGGTCACTGAAGGGAAAGAAACTGAAGGATTCACTGTCATTTGCTTTCAATTTCTACCAAAAAAAAATACCTAATGCAGGAGAAAATTCTAAATCAAAATACCAGATTAAATGCCTGATTGATGATTCATTCATTTCTCTCGAAAATAAAAGTCAGCATCAAATTTTCACAGAAATAATTCATATTTACAACATCTCACTCCTAAGTCATGGTGAAAATCAACCAAATACAGAAATTGTCTTACAGGTTTTACAGCAGGCTTGTAGTTCAGACAGATCAACCGTTCGTAAAACAAATGCCATCAGACGCAAGGACGAACAGAACAACGTTAGGCACCGCCGAGATGATGCTTCTTAATGAAGTCATTTTGGTAATAGCAGCCTAATATGAGAAAATGCACCATTTCATCGATCGAATACTTTGCTTGGTCTCAAGGAGTTGGCTTTTAGACTCTGCAGAGGCTTCACAGAGAGCCATGTTTCGTACCACGAGACTACGTTACCTTTAATCACGGATGAGATTCTTCTTCCAAAGATCCACATCCTATGATGGAGCCATGAGCAGAACTACACATAGGTCTAGTCTCCTTCCATTTCAACGGTGTGAAAGAGGGGTCACAAACCCTAACTAAACCCAACTTCACAATTTCAAACCTCCCAGTCCCTGATGGGTCCCACTTGAGCACCTTTCCTCCAAAAATATACAATTCTCCTCTTAGTGCAGCAAAACCATGGCCGAATGACTCCAATGGCCGGGGATGGTTGGGAAGAACCACCGAAGGAACTGAACCTACATGGCGCCACTCTCCATTTTCAGTGTCCCTGGTTTTTATGGAGCTCTCACCCAAATCTACAACTGTGTATACCTGATCATCCCCAATCACCTGAACTGCAAGATGCATTGCCCTTGAGAAAGGCCAGATGTCATCAACTGTGCACCATGTTCTGTCTGATGGATTAAAAACTTCAGAAGTTGTCTGGTCAGGCAGGCCTACCTGATCGCTCAAGATATAAAGTTTGCCTTTATACGATAGCCCTAAGCAATCCATTTGTGGACTCGGCATTGGTGGCAAATCTTCCCACCTGGAAATGTCAGTCAGTCAAAGTTTAATATAAACCAGTTTCAAGTAAGGTGCAAATTTGAAAATCAGGAGCAGTTCAATAAGGAGACCTATTTATCAAAATGATGAAAAATATATTACAAAAAACGTAAGTACTGTAACAAGTAGATTGCGCAATATATGCAAACATGGGAAATAACACCAAGGATGGGTCTAGTCACGAGACTTCACAGTTGATAGCAGCGTAGGGCTCGACATGTGAATAAAAACATACGACTTCCTTTTCAATACTACAGATTGCATATCATCAGATGGCATATAGACATAATAAAGAAACTTCACTTTAAAGTCATCCTTAACATCTGATTCTGACACTACAAAATTATGCTGACAAAACCATATGCATGATATAAAAGGGGGTTAAGTGCAAAAAACTCCCCTGCTATATAAAAAATGTGCAAAAAACACCCCTATTAAAAAACTAAGTGCCTATAAATCCTTATATTATCAATCTTTTGAGTAAATTGCCCCCTATTGCATAAATTCAGTTCATCTTTCTATAAAAACCCAAAAGTACCCTTTTGAGTGACAAAAATGCCCCTACAAATTTCCCCTTTCTCTATCTTCTTTCACAGGTTACTTTCTCTATCTATATCAAGTCTTCACTCTTTCCCAGCCATTAAATCCGACCACCAAACACCACCCAAAAAAATTACATATCTTTAAGAATCCATTAATTAAGAATTTCAGAATCTTTAATTTTAGTTATTGTGTGATCCTTCACCACCTCCACTGTGTGTTCCTATTACCATCGTTTGGAGTTTCTCTTACATCCATGTGGGTCTGTTGATTGTTAGTGTTAGCTTTGGTTGTCTGCCTTTCTTGAAATGTGCACACATGAAACTTTCATGCTACATCCCTAACCTTTTCCCAGTACTACACCAACCTTAGCACTCAAACGGTCAAACCCCGCCAATGACGGCTTCCTCACAAAACCCACTGCTACAGCCGTTGGAATCTCACCACGCTGGAATCGTGTCATCACCACCACCATGCTGGAACCTCACTCGCCAGAATTTTCTACAGCCGTTGATTTTCTTTCGTCAGCATCGGCTGTCGGATCTTGTTCATTGGAGCCTCTTCTCGCCATTGGAACATCTGTTGGTCGTCGCCCTCATCGGAACTTCCGGTCATCAGCAGAACTCTGCCCGTCAGTTCCCGTAGCCACTTTAGTCTCTCGGTCCTCACAGCCGATGCCAAAAGGGCACTCAATTTCTCTCTCTCTCTCTCTCTCTCTCTCTCTCTCTCTCTATATATATATATATATATATATATATATATATATATATATAAAATAAATAAATAGATACATATAGTTGATAAGAAATTGTAAGAATAGATTTGATGTTCAACGGACATCGACATTTCATTTGTTAAATTGAAGAATTGTCCTTATTTGCCCAATTTGAATAATGTAGGGGTGTTCTTTGAACACCAGGGGGCTATTTGCACATTCTGCATATAACAAGGGGGTTTTTTGCACTTAACCCTATAAAAGGAGCTCATAATGATATGACTAAGTGATTACAAATAATAGAAAATTCATAATAGAACACCAAAAATCACTGACCTACACAAGGTGAAAACTCATAAAGATAACAAGAGGATACACCAGCGCAAGGATAAAAAACTGAAAGCTGGCTTATAGACGAAGGGCGTTTGGAATTTGAATATTGCTTAGAAAAAGAAAAAGGGGGGGAGGGGGGTATATGTTCATCTTCAACAGTAATGATACTTTTTTAACAGAAATAGAACATCCTTTTGAACAATTACTAACAGTTGTAGATCATCAGATCATATTCACATCTACAAAATAAAAAATAAATTAAAAAAATCCAATTTGAAAGTCATTTGTAATATTTGATTTCCACAATGTTAATCAGACCATGTCAATAAATACACGTGATCTTCAATAAGATGGCATATACATGATAAAGAAACTTCACTTTTAAAGTCATCCTTAACATCTGATTCTGACACTACAAAACAATGCTGATGAAACCATATGCGTAATCCAAAAGGAGCTGATACTGATATGACTAAGTGATTACCAATACTAGAAAATAAAATTTAACAGAACACCAAAAATTGTTGACCTACGCAAGGTGAAAACTCATACAGATAACAATAGGATAGAACAGCACAAGGATAAAAAAACTGAAAGTTGACTTATGTCGATAAATACATAAGATGGAATATACATAATAAAGAAACTTCACTTTGAAAGTCATCCTTAACAACTGATTCTGACACTAAAAAATAATGCTGATGAAATCATATGCATACAAAAGGAACTGATAATGATATGACTAAGTGATTACCAATAATAGAAAATAAAATTTAATAGAACACCAAAAATTGTTGACCTACGCAAGGTGAAAACTCATACAGATAACAGTAGGATAGAACAGCGCAAGGATAAAAACACTGAAAGTTGACTTATCCTCTCAATATTTTGACAAGTATGACACGAAAAAGAATATCTTAACTGGGATGTGAACTTTAAAAGGTTAAATATAGTAGGCGAAATGACATGTAATAGAAAAGATTGGTTAGAGAGAATTCATGTGGCCGATGATGATGAAATGGTATGTGAACTTGCATCTTCCTTTATGGGCAAGGGTAGAACAATAAGCTAGACAGTGGCATCAAGGACACAAAACTGGCTATGCAATGAAAGAAAAGCAGATATATTAGTAGTGGCCATGGTAGCTGAAATAAAGGAACAATAAAATTCTAATCAAATATCCACTACAGAAGCTACTTTACCAGACAGGAACGTAAAGGTAGTCTAGTAAAGGTAATCTAATAATACCACATAACTATTAAGTAAAGTCCTAGCAAATTCTGTCTATATGTTTAAATACAAAAGAGGTGAAAAGATACATGCATTTATTTATTTTAGTCCTAGCAAGGGATGCACACCAGCACAGCTCGCATTGGCCTGGGTCCATCACCAAGGAAATGATGTGTGTCCCATACCCGGCACCACCAAGATTGAAAACTTTAACCAAAACATTGGTGCTTTATCCGTGAAGCTAACGAAGGAAGAAATGGCAGAACTCGAAGCCATAGCTTCAGCTGATGCTGTTGAAGGTGATAGATTTGGGGGCATTTCAATCACTTGGAGGGAATCAAACACTCTCCCATTGTCCTTGGGGAAAGGCGAATAAACACACGCCTCTGCCTCCTCTAGTTCCTTCGGTCCAATGTTGTGATAATTTTGTATTGTTTTAGAACTTGTTGGCTTGTGTTCAAGAACAGAATAAATAGAATAACTTCTGCAAGTAGGAATAACTTCTTACTCAGAATCTCTTGTCCATAATGACCACTTCAACTGTACGTCCTTCTGATTGTTGAAGCAGAGGCCTCGGATAAACCTACATATTTTATTTTACCCTCTTTATATATGTGACAGGGGAAGAGACATGGACACAAGATGGTCATATCATACAACAGCATATCTTAATTGTGATTACACAACTTTTAAAATAACCTCAAAATATACTTAACAGCTTCCTTGGGGTTGAAGGAGGGGTCAACAGCCTACTTAACAGCTTCCTTGGGGTTGAAGGAGGGGTCAACAGCCTACAACTCTGTATGAAGGTAAGAGATGTTTACCAAATGGTCATTATGAATTAAAATCCATGGACAGAAGAGAAGAGAACCAGAGAATATCATGCTTACTAAACCAGTCAGGATTTGACAATGAGTAAGAATAATGAAAAGAAGAAAAGAAATAAAACCCTTCTAAGAACTGAATTACTTATGAAAAAGCAATCTAAATATTTAGGACTGCTTTAACAGGTATTAAAAGAATCAGGTGATAAGAAACAATAGAAAGGAGAGCCAATATTAAATAATTTACTAATCCTTATTTATGGAAACAAACAAGACTCAAAACATTAAGATATAACTAGAAATTAAATTCACGTAGCTCAACCACCGCTAAATTTCACACCGTTTGTTTCAAAATGATTTAGAATTTTTCCTTCCTATTTCTTGTGTTTTGATGAACATATTCAAAACAGTTACATTTTTGGCTGAGACATTCATTAAACAGTACATGGACACTTATAACACACTCAGAAAACAGACAATTTTGTTGACTTTCATTTGCATATTCTCAAATTCCTCCTATACATAGATCAACATAAAAGAAAAAGAGAGTGTTTTGTACCGTGACTTCTATAATGATGCAATCAATGTCGATCTGCTTCGAGCTTACGCAGGTTTACCGCGAATTTGAATCTTCCCATCGGAAAAGCTGCAACCGAACTTCGTTGAGAGCCTGATCCACAAATTAATTCATCAATTAGGTAAAAAATTAGGGTTAATTACAGTAAAAGTACGTTGAGAGCACATGAATTGTGTGAAAATGTTAAATTTACGTTGGCAATGAAAGTACTGCAGACGTCGGAAGTGCCGAGGAAGGTGACGCCGGAGTTAATGAGGTGTTGGATGAGGGAGGCGATCATGTCGGAGTTGGGCTTGGGAGGGCCGTAGAAGGCGGACATGCCCCGTGCACCTCAGTCCCCGTGCTGATTACTTCTAGGCCTTGTGAACCTAGTTTCATCCTCACTCTCTCCATCTACTCTCCTGTATTATTATGTGTGTGTGTGTGTGTGTGTGTGTGTGTGTGTGTGTGGATATAGTTGTATTTATAGAGAGTGAATTGTGAGGGACTAATACAATTTGTTAGGGGAACGCAGAGATGAAAAGTGGTGCAGATGGAGCTCCACGGTAAGCTTCTGGTGAGAAGCAAAGCGAACGAAGAGACACGTGGAAGAAAGCGGGGGTACTGTAGGAAACTGATGAATTAGGTGGGGGCAAAAAAGGTAAGAAAAAAATTTGGACCATTTCTCGATTTGTGCGTGTCATCCTTGCGCAGGGGCCATGCTAATCTTCTCTGTATCGTTCCAATTTTATCGGATGTCCCCGAAGGGACGATAGTTGGTTGTAAACGAAACATATATTAAGCGCAAAGACTTTAATTCTTTAACCGATGTGGGACATCTCAGCGCTTTGAAAAACGTGCTTACACAGCCTAGTAGCCTACAACATAACTTAGCCTACAACATAACTCTAAGTTAATAGCCTCCAACTTTTGTCGATCTAGATAGCCTTCTAGATGTCCAATTGTCCAACAATATTTTATTTTATTATTATTATTTATTTTTTAAAACATTAGAATAATTTATTGGTGTTAGAAGTATAATATATTTTTAACACCAACTAAATTGAAAATGCAAAACATTATTGCATTAGATTTAATATTAAATCCTCGACCTAATATTATTGCATGACATTATGTAATTGACTAATTATAGAGAGTTGTTATAGAATCTATTAAAAAATAAATAAGAATTATAGGTTAAATGTTATCAATTCATCAATTGATTTAATTAATTTCTCTATATCTTTAGAGTAAAACTCTCATTCTACAATTATAAACCGATTAAACATAATTTAGCTGAAGAGTAGATGGGCTGGGTCATATGTGATTTCTTGATGAATGTCATCAAAGCACAACTTATGTTCTGAAAGGGAAGTAAATACATTGGTTCTAATTTTTAAGATAAATGACCCAAAATCTCTCTTTTCATAAAAAAAATATTCCTTGAAACCAAACGATTTTTTTTTTTACTTTCCCATTAACTGATTTGATAATGAAACTAAAATTAATTACTATTTCTGCTTTCCTACATCCACATACCATGAGCTCAAGAATTCTTCCTCATGGAAGCAATTACGCTGAGTTGCAACAGATTACTGTGATTTTGTAGTTTGTTTCCGTACCTGCAGGTGAGTCATCTTCTGCAAATTAATCTACTTATAGAGGTTTGGAAGGAAGTTCTTGAATTTAAAAGGTTTTAAAAAAACAAAAATAAAATATAATATATCGAATGTAACTATAGTAAATCTAGATATACAATTAAGGTTATAATGAAGATTGACAATCAGGAGGTACAGAAAAATGAACATTCCCATTATTTAGACTCACATATGAACACATATATTATAGATATTTGTTCTTTCAACAAAAGCTAGGCCTTTGCCAAAAAAAATAAATAAATAAATAAACAAACAAAAGCTAGGCATTCAAAGAAATTACACCATCTCTGAACTAGGGGTGATCACGAATCGGATCGGATCGGATTAGGCATCATTCCTAATCCGATCCGCTCACAACGGATTGGAGAATTTTGAATCCGCCACCAATCCGTTAGTCCACAAATCGGATCGGATCGAATCCGTAAAATGACGGATCGGATCCAATCCGCGGACTAAATTTTCTAAATTAATCTATTTTTTATTTTTTACCAATTTCATATCCAATTGCAGAAGTGTAAAATAGAACATAGATTAACCCAATTTAAATGCATAATAACAAGAATAGTAGTTATCCAAATTATCTGAAAAAATAGTAGGACTATGCCAATATTACATAACAGTAGCAGTGAAGTGAAATAAAAAAAGGGATAGTAGATCCATATGCCAAATATTACATAGCCAAAGGTCCAAAAGTAGCAGTGAACCAAATAGGCAAATATTACATAACCAAAGGTCCAAATATAGCAGTGAAGTGAAAAAAAGAAAAGAAAAAAGGAAGTAGCAGACTAGCAGTGCAGTGAAAAAAAAGAGATAGCAGAACAATCTCCATGAATCTCCTCAAACCATAGACTATCAGTAAATACTTACCAAAAAAAAATAAAAAATAAAAAACGTCAGGTATGTGGCACACGGATTGCCACGGATAGGGTTGCTATATATTAATATTATATATATATATATATATATATATATATATATATATATATTTTACGGATTACCCACGGGTTGCCACGGATCGGATTCACGGATCGGATCTGATTTTTGACAGCCTAATCTGTGATCCGATCCGTGAACTACGGATTCAATTTTTTAGAATCTGCCACCGATCCGTAGGTCTGATAATCCTATCCGATCAGAACGGATCGGATCGGGTTCACGGATTGGCGGATTTTTCGCCCACCCCGACTCTGAACACTATGATAAAACACTACAAACTCACGAAGAAGTGTTTGTGCTTCCTATATGTTGCCTGATTATGGAGATGGTTTGGATTGTCAAAATATCAAATGGTCAAACCGACACATCCAAAAAGACTCATTTTCGATCGAAATCGTGAATTTAGGATGTTGAGCTACGCTGCTTTCTAAAATTCCATGCCCATAAATCGTGAATTTAGGATGTTGAATATTTCAAAAATTTTGTTAGAGGTTTAAACAAACTCAAATTCTTCTAATTTTTTGTATTTAGTAATTTTTTTGTAATTAGGTTTGTTGTCCTATTTTTTTCATTTTAGAGATTGTTGGATTTTAGGCTAATTTTTATTGAGAATTGAACACATTCTACAATCTCAATTTAATGGTCTTATATTGTTAATCTAAGAATCATGCTATTTGGCCCAACAAATAAAAAACATATTACTTCACCGAGTCTATATGGCTACCCATGTGTTAAATATACGGGACCCATTTTAAAATATAAGGTAATTGATTATTTGGAAAGTTGTATATCTTAATTTAGTATCTTTGTTGGCAATTAAATTTTCAACCTCCATGTATATATATAGGTATTGTATATTTCAAATTGCATCTCTTAAAGAACCAATGAGATACTTCAGATTTTGTTTCTGATCATTAATATTTATCTTTTACTTTGATAGACATTTGTTAATTGTTATATTGATCAAAGTTAATAATCTATCTTACTCCAAAAAACAAAGAAGTTTTTTAAAAAAAAATTGCAAAAGCATGGAAAAATTATAAAACATTCAAATTATTAAATTTGAGTACCATGAAGCATTGAAACTTACTGTGAAAAAAATAATAATAATAAATTAAATGATATGACTGTGAAAAACTAAAGGATAAGAAAATGGGCTATAGAAAACTGTAAAGATAAGGAAAGGGAACGGAAGTATTTTATTAAAACATACAATAGAAGTAATGATATCTATTTAAGTTGAAATTTTGAAAAACCACGTCATATTTTTATGTCTATCGGTTTTAAGTCCATTTTCCTTAATCTAATGTTGTTGTATCCAAATATGTAAAGAGATTATTCTTAGCATCTCTTTTATTGTTATTATAGGAAAAATAAAAAAATAAATCTCGCGTCCTCATTTATTGATCTATTTAATGACATCATAAAATGTTTTTTTTTTTTTAAAATTGACATAAATTTTACCTTCTTTTTTTAAAAAAATCACGAGTTGTCTTTGATAGTTAAAGTTGTTTCCAATGATTAACTTTTGATTGAATAAATTTTATATAATTCTGACCAATTATAATTTGACAAATAAATAAATATATCAATTTTATTTAAATTTTTGTTTATATATCAAATTATCGTGACCATCTAATAATTCTTGGAAAGACATTTGTTTCACAAGGTTCTTACAGAACTTTTCAAATACTAAAACCTATATTTTCATTTATTTCATTATATATTTTATGAAGAACAATTTCATGTTTGAGACATATAAATAAAAGTTATTTTCTAATTATTCTAATACACAGTCTTTTCTTGCATTCATTGTCCAAAACACAGTATATATGTATATATCAAACATGATATAAGACCTTGATTCCTTGAATATCATCCATACTTATATCTTTTGTCACACCATTGTTGGCCACATAATAGCATTTCCAACTGAGCTATGCCCGAGTCCAAGAAGGTGACCAATTTCATGCAATGCAACAGTTTCCAAGTCAAAATTACCTGGTACCGCACCAAGGCTCCATTTCTCATCTGCATCATAGCTCTCGAGACACCCATTCTGCCATCGCGACTCGTACCAGGTAGAAATCCAAAGGTGATTTGGGTTTTAGAAGGTGGCCATTTAGGGTTTTGGGGAGGAAACTATAATGAGAGACTATATGGAGATGGGTTGCACCATGTTGGTTCACTTTCTTGCCCAACTGCATCCAATTAGTCCCGTTGACGATATCCGGTAGGCCACACCGGGGCATCATCATCATTGTTGAGCCTACCGGGGCATCATCATCATTGTTGACGATATCCAGTATGCCACACCGGGGCATCATCGTCATTGTCACCGTAGTAGTATCTACGATTCCGGGGGCATCATCATCATTGTCACCGTAGTACCTACGATTCCGGTGACATTGAGGTTGTAATTGAGCTGGTATGACATTGAGGTTGTACTTGAGCTGGTATGCATCATCAAAAACAACCTTGCAAATGCTTGTTATTTTTTAGAATCATTTATGAGCTGTGAATGACAGTTCTGGGGATATTTTTCTGGGTCACTGAAGGGAAAGAAACTGAAGGATTCACTGTCATTTGCTTTCAATTTCTACCAAAAAAAAATACCTCATGTAATCAAAATACCAGATTAAATGCCTGATTGATGATTAATTCATTTCTCTCGAAAATAAAAGTCAGCATCAAATTTTCACAGAAATAATTCATATGTACAACATCTCACTCCTAAGTCATGGTGAAAATCAACCAAATACAGAAATTGTCTTACAGGTTTTACAGCAGGCTTGTAGTTCAGACAGATCAACCGTTCGTAAAACAAATGCCATCAGACGCAAGGACGAACAGAACAACGTTAGGCACCGCCGAGATGATGCTTCTTAATGAAGTCATTTTGGTAATAGCAGCCTAATATGAGAAAATGCACCATTTCATCGATCGAATACTTTGCTTGGTCTCAAGGAGTTGGCTTTTAGACTCTGCAGAGGCTTCACAGAGAGCCATGTTTCGTACCACGAGACTACGTTACCTTTAATCACGGATGAGATTCTTCTTCCAAAGATCCACATCCTATGATGGAGCCATGAGCAGAACTACACATAGGTCTAGTCTCCTTCCATTTCAACGGTGTGAAAGAGGGGTCACAAACCCTAACTAAACCCAACTTCACAATTTCAAACCTCCCAGTCCCTGATGGGTCCCACTTGAGCACCTTTCCTCCAAAAATATACAATTCTCCTCTTAGTGCAGCAAAACCATGGCCGAATGACTCCAATGGCCGGGGATGGTTGGGAAGAACCACCGAAGGAACTGAACCTACATGGCGCCACTCTCCATTTTCAGTGTCCCTGGTTTTTATGGAGCTCTCACCCAAATCTACAACTGTGTATACCTGATCATCCCCAATCACCTGAACTGCAAGATGCATTGCCCTTGAGAAAGGCCAGATGTCATCAACTGTGCACCATGTTCTGTCTGATGGATTAAAAACTTCAGAAGTTGTCTGGTCAGGCAGGCCTACCTGATCGCTCAAGATATAAAGTTTGCCTTTATACGATAGCCCTAAGCAGTCCATTTGTGGACTCGGCATTGGTGGCAAATCTTCCCACCTGGAAATGTCAGTCAGTCAAAGTTTAATATAAACCAGTTTCAAGTAAGGTGCAAATTTGAAATTCAGGAGCAGTTCAATAAGGAGACCTATTTATCAAAATGATGAAAACAATATTACAAAAAATGTAAGTACTGTAACAAGTAGATTGCGCAATATATGCAAACATGGGAAATAACACCAAGGATGGGTCTAGTCACGAGACTTCACAGTTGATAGTGGCGTAGGGCTCGACATGTGAATAAAAACATACGACTTCCTTTTCAATACTACAGATTGCATATATCAGATGGCATATAGACATAGTAAAGAAACTTCACTTTAAAGTCATCCTTAACATCTGATTCTGACACTACAAAATTATGCTGACGAAACCATGCATGATATAAAAGGGGGTTAAGTGCAAAAAACTCCCCTGCTATATAAAAAATGTGCAAAAAACACCCCTATTAAAAACTAAGTGCCTATAAATCCTTATATTATCAATCTTTTGAGTAAATTGCCCCCTATTGCATAAATTCAGTTCATCTTTCTATAAAAACCCAAAAGCACCCTTTTGAGTGACAAAAATGCCCCTACAAATTTCCCCTTTCTCAGTGGCATTTTTGTAGGGGCATTTTTTTTTTTTATCAAAAAAAAAATTTCCCCTTTCTCTATCTTCTTTCACAGGTTACTTTATCTATATCAAGTCTTCACTCTTTCCCAGCCATTAAATCCGACCACCAAACACCACCCAAAAAAAATACATATCTTTAAGAATCCATTAATTAAGAATTTCAGAATCTTTAATTTTAGTTATTGTGTGATCCATCACCACCTCCACTGTGTGTTCCTATTACCATCGTTTTGGAATTTCTCTTACATCCATGTGGGTCTGTTGATTGTTAGTGTTAGCTTTGGTTGTCTGCCTTTCTTGAAATGTGCATACATGAAACTTTCATGCTACATCCCTAACCTTTTCCCAGTACTACACCAACCTTAGCACTCAAACGGTCAAACCCCGTCAATGACAGCTTCCTCACAAAACCCACTGCTACAGCCGTTGGAATCTCACCACGCTGGAATCATGTCATCATCACCACCATGTTGGAACCTCACTCGCCAGAATTTTCTACAGCCGTTGATTTTCTTTCGTCAGCATCAGCTGTCGGATCTTGTTCATTGAAGCCTCTTCTTGCCATTGGAACATCTGTTGGCCGTCGCCCTCATCGGAACTTCCGGTCATCAGCAGAACTCTGCCCGTCAGTTCCCGTAGCCACTTTAGTCTCTCGGTCCTCACAGCCGATGCCAAAAGGGCACTCAATTTCTCTCTCTCTCTCTCTCTCTCTCTCTCTCTATATATATATATATATATATATATATAATAAATAAATAGATACATATAGTTGATAAGAAATTGTAAGAATAGATTTGATGTTCAACGGACATCGACTTTTCATTTGTTAAATTGAAGAATTGTCCTTATTTGCCCAATTTGAATAATGTAGGGGTGTTCTTTGAACACCAGGGGGCTATTTGCACATTCTGCATATAACAAGGGGGTTTTTTGCACTTAACCCTATAAAAGGAGCTCATAATGATATGACTAAGTGATTACAAATAAGAGAAAATTCATAATAGAACACCAAAAATCACTGACCTACACAAGGTGAAAACTCGTAAAGATAACAAGAGGATACACCAGCACAAGGATAAAAAACTGAAATCTGGCTTATAGACGAAGGGCGTTTGGAATTTGAATATTGCTTAGAAAAAGAAAAAGGGGGGGAGGGGGGTATATGTTCATCTTCAACAGTAATGATACTTTTTTAACAGAAATAGAACATCCTTTTGAACAATTACTAACAGTTGTAGATCATCGGATCATATTCACATCTACAAAATAAAAAATAAATTAAAAAAATCCAATTTGAAAGTCATTTGTAATATTTGATTTCCACAATGTTAATCAGACCATGTCAATAAATACACGTGATCTTCAATAAGATGGCATACACATGATAAAGAAACTTCACTTTTAAAGTCATCCTTAACATCTGATTCTGACACTACAAAACAATGCCGATGAAACCATATGCATAATCCAAAAAGAGCTGATAATGATATGACTAAGTCATTACCAATAATAGAAAGTAAAATTTAACAGAACACCAAAAATTGTTGACCTACGCAAGGTGAAAACTCATACAGATAACAATAGGATAGAACAGCACAAGGATAAAAAAACTGAAAGTTGACTTATGTCGATAAATACATAAGATGGATATACATAATAAAGAAACTTCACTTTGAAAGTCATCCTTACCAACTGATTCTGACACTAAAAAATAATTCTGACACAAAAGGAGCTGATAATGATATGACCAAGTGATTGCCAATAGTAGAAAATAAAATTTAATAGAACACCAAAAATTGTTGACCCACGCAAGGTGAAAACTCATACAGATAACAATAGGATAGAACATCACAAGGATAAAAACACTGAAAGTTGACTTATCCTCTCAATATTTTGACAAGTATGACACGAAAAAGAATATCTTAACTGGGATGTGAACTTTAAAAGGTTAAATATAGTAGGCGAAATGACATGTAATAGAAAAGATTGGTTAGAGAGAATTCATGTGGCCGATGATGATGATGATGATGAAATGGTATGTGAATTTGCATCTTCCTTTATGGGCAAGGGTAGAACAATAAGCTAGACAGTGACATCAAGGACACAAAACTCGCTATGCAATGAAAGAAAAGCAGATAGATTAGTAGTGGCCCATGGTAGCTGAAATAAAGGAACAATAAAATTCTAATCAAACCTACATAAATTTAAAAACTAAAAGCCCTGACAAATATCCACTACAGAAGCTACTTTACCAGACAGGAACGTAAAGGTAGTCTAGTAAAGGTAATCTAATAATACCACATAACTATTAAGTAAAGTCCTAGCAAATTCTGTCTATATGTTTAAATACAAAAGAGGTGAAAAGATACATGCATTTATTTATTAAACGAAAAAGACAATGAAGTTTATAGAAAGTAATTAATTATATGGAAGTGTTTCAGGAATGCACTAAATATCACCAAATGTAACAAAAACATACTTGTCTTTCATTGGATCATAAACTTCAGCTAGAGAAAGCCCCGTGGTGCATGATGAAGTGCGTCCCCCAGCTACATAAACCTTGCCAGAAACAACACTACAAGCGAAGTGAGATCGTGGCAATCGCATACTTGCTACCCAAGTCCACTGTTTCTCAAATGGATCGAACTCCAATACATTATTTGTTATCAACGGCTTTTGTTCGGGAAACACTGGATCATATGGCGCATAGGACCCACCAATCACCAGAAACTTATTACATACACTAACACATGAAAATCCATAGTGCTGCCAGTCATAATCCACCCCGGGTATCTTTGGCAATGAATGCCATATATCCGCTTCAGGATCATAAGCAGCCCAGTGGCCGTTAGAGCCTTCAGTCAGAACAAACAACCAATTCCCGCACCACCCTTCTTTAGCTTTATAGTTAGAATAATCTGAGCTGCGGATTACATTTCTCCATTTTTTTGAGACAGTTTCAAGCAGTCCATGGTACCCATGCGACACCTTTGCCAAACATCTCAAAGCTAAGTCATCCGGCAATCCTGGAATTATAGCTTGATTCACAAATTCCCTAATTTTAGAAAATTCAGAAATTGATCAAAGAATTAAAACAGAAATTGAGATTAAAAGGGAGAGAGAGAGAGAGAGAGAGAGAGGGAGAAGGAAATTATAAGAAAATATAGCAAATAAGATTATTTATGTATATAGGTAAATCCTTAGATTTGTAGCATGATAGTGTGCAATTTTGCTATATTCCTTAGCAAGTACTAGACATACTTTATCAGCAGTCTAATTATGGTTTAATCTTGAAATATTGTTAGTCGTACCCAATCCTATAGTCTCCTTATGGAAACAGTACAGATGAATTAATTAGAGTAAATTACACTGACCTCCCTAGAGGATTGGGAAAATTATACACAGCTAGAGTGTTTGGTGGTTATTACTCAATACTCCCCTAAGGTTTGGCATGTGTGCTCAACGACACCCCTGACGTCGATAAGCCGTTAGATCCATCAAACAATATTTGAATAATGTCTGAATTGCCCTTATATGAAGAGACTTTAATAGCTTACAAGCTTATGTAAAAGTACAATAATACCATATATTTATAGACTCATATGACCCTGAGATACATGTATATATTGGATTAACTAAGATGTAATGACTATATTAATCATATTAAATGAAAACTTTAATTTTTCTTATTAATTACATTTCATTTTCCCTATTAAGTATTCTATTGAAGGACGAAAAACTTGCCTCTTGCTTCTCTTCCGGCTGCCACTGCCTACCGCCAGCACCACCGACTACCACCGCCACCTTCTCCACCGCCTCTAGCTCCTTATTTCTTCCTCTTCACTACCACCAAATCCTCGATTCCCTCTAATATGCCTTCTCTTCAATCCGCTATTATTTCCATTTCAAATCCCCAAAATCGAATCTTCACCACAGCGGCCAACCACTTCTTTCACTGGGTCACGACCACCATCAGATTGTGGACCCAAAATTTTTGTAGAATAGTCACTATAGAGAGGTGGGTATGTTGCATGTAGTTGATTGTGTATGTGTGTGTGGCTATATTTATCTAGAAGGTGCACCTATATTGTGAGACACAGACTGATTTAGTGAATTTTACGAAGAATATTATATGTATATATCTATTCATAAGGTGTACCTATATTGTGAGACAGAGACTGATTCAGTGAATTTTACAAAGAATATATATATATATATATATATATTCGTAATTGAAATGAGATGTTGGATTTGAGTGTGGTAATGGGCTTTGCTTATACTAATCTAATGCAATTAAACTTCCCAAATGTCATTTTTTTTTTTTTAACTTTCTCCTTGAATGAGTGAAGAATTCATTTTCTTTTTGGGTCTGGAATCTGGATTGTTTGGTCTTTGGTAAGAAATCCGTCTTATATGTATGCATATATGTGTGCATATATTATATATATTTATGGTCTTTTGCAGCAGTGGTGGAAGTGGCGAGGGAGGTGACCATGGTGGAGAGGAGAGAGAATCGCAGCGAGGGAAAAAGAGAGGTGAGAGAAATGGATTAGGAGAGCAGAGTGAAGTGTTGTTTATAGGAGGTGGTGAGTTAGAAGGTGGTTGATAGGAGAGAGAAGAGAATAGAGGTGCAACTGTGCAGAAGGTAGCAATGGTGGAGAGGAGACAGAGAATGCAGAAAGAGGGAGGAGAGAGAATAGGGGAATCAAGATTTTGGCAATAGTTATTAGTGGGTAATAAAGTCTTTTACATGGCAGGATTTTTTAATTAAAATATTATTAATGAAATAGGGGTATAAATGACATTTCACCGTATAAGTTAACGTCTGTCAGTTTACCATGACAAGGGAGGTCTATGTAATAAGCACCAAACAGTCTACCGTGCGTAATTTGCCCAAACCTCAGGGAAGTCAGTGTAAGCTACCCAATTAATTATAGTCCCGAATGACTTTTTTTTTACTAAATTAGTCTCAAATGTCTTACTTCTTTGCATAATAATTCATCCTTCATAGTTGTTTGAGGTGGCTCATGAACATTCTTGTTTACCTAGTTCTAGTGATTTCACCAAAATCACCAGACCGTATTTGCAGCTACTGAGGCGATGCTTGGATACTGCCTAAAAAGAAATTTCTGAAACTTCTTTTGTTTTTTTAAATTGGAGTTGCCTCAAAAATGATTAAACATTTACAGTTTAATCCAAATATTAAATACTAGATATTTCTATTTGAGTTAATAATGATATATTTCTTTAAGCAAAAAAAAGAGAGGTTATTATGAAAAGAAGGGAAATTCAAGTACACATAGGCATATAAGACCAGAGGTCACAACACTAGAAAACAAGCTTTAGAAACCAAAAACTCAAAACATCTAGGAGGCAAGATCTTATCCCCAAATTAAATGTGGCTCCACGCCAATATGTGATTACCAGATCTATTGTTCAGAATAACCTTTAGCCAAAGAATTTAGGCTTCAGACAAAGTCAGAACGCATCACTGCAATGATTGTGATAACAGAATGCGGTTGTGACTTTAAAACTTGGTCCGTGCATAGTTCTTCAAGAATCACATAAGTTCGTGTCTTTTTGAGTAGCATGAACAAAAATCATGTACTTTTTTTAGCATGAACAAGTCTCTTTATTGAATCTCTCTTCTTTCTTTGGTTCAGCCCTGTATTTAATTTCTTGCTCTCTGCTTCTCTTGCTCATTATTTATGCAGTCTTCTTCATCCCCACGAGCTCACTCTCTCTCTCTTGGTCCTCTCGAGGCTTCTGAACATCCCTTCCTCCCCCTCCCTCTCAAAGAACCAACCCACACGTGGCACTAAATTTATATATTATCAGCAAAAAACGTTTAAGAATTAAAAATTCCAACCCCCATTTGACATAATAAGTTCAACTAAAGTAATTTCTCATTTATATTTGAGGCAATGAGATTTGAGGTTTAGGGTTTAGGGCAAGGGTGTAAAGAGCTGTATGCCTGCATGTTAACAAATGCACGAAACCCAACAAAGTAGAAGGAGGGTTGGGCAGTGCATAGGCTCACATAATCTCTCTTTACTCCAACAACAAGCATGAGATGTGAGATAATTTTGCGCGTAATGGGACTCGCAGGTGATGTAGCACCCCCTGGATTGTTTGAAATCACTCTTTGATATTCACAATACAAAAGAGGTGGTGTATACATTTTAGGATTAATTCCAGGCTAAGGGGATTTCATCCACAAATTCAAAGTTAATGGCTTGACTTATGTTGTTCATCATGATTTATTACAAATCAGAAGTATCCAACTAGTTTTTCACCTATTGAAGCAACATTGAAGGAAAAAAAGGATTTGAGACTGGTTTTTCATATATATTCACACACATAGCTACTTTTATTAAGTTGCTGAGAAATTCTTGGATTCACCAACAGTTGAACTTAGGAAATGACAAACATATAGATAAATGAAGTGACTTACATGAATCAAGCGACTCAGGAGACTGATTCAGCAAACTAGGTTTGATTTGTAAACCAGTTCTGGTTCTACCAGCTCGAATATGATCTTCAAAAATATACTACACAAACAATAAATTGCATAAGAGATGGGTATTGTTGTGCGATTCAAAATCTGTAGCCCCTTTTTTCAATCATGAACCGAAATTATATGAATGTGTGTGTCAGTGTGCGTAGAGACGAGAGAGAGAGAGAGAGAGAGAGGGGAATAGTTGAACTGTAAAAATACCTACTTGGATTATATAAATTATTTAAACCATTTTATGTAAATTATGTATATTATAAGATGGGTAATTTACATAAACCTTCCCTATAATTTGTCATAATTGCATGGACTTCCCTTTCTGTTTTAGAAATTACTCCAACCTTCTTGAAAAATAAAAATATATTACACGCCTCTCTTCCGTTAAAGTCAACGTCAATTAACGGCGAAAATGGCTGATGTCGTGCACTAAATTAAGTAAAATACCTATAATACCCTTATCCCTACATTTGTAATTACAGTCGACTTATCCCTACCTTTATTCCCTTAACTGTAATGGAGAGGCCGTGCCCACCTCAACCATTACCGCAGACAGGAAGAAAATTAGGAACATAAAGAAGAGAACTGTTCCGCCGACGTAAATAGCAACAATCACCGCGAATGAGATCTTTGCTGTGGTGGTGGCGATATACTCGACGAAAGCCGGGAGGGAGTCACCAGCAGGCACTGGCATCAGATTCCTTGCCGCCGATGAGCTCGCAGGCAGAGATACAGAAAACCAGTGAGACATGCTTGTTGCCGGAGAGGAGATTGGTCAGATTGTTGTGCCGAAGAAGATTTAGATTGGAAAAATCGGAGGGAATCTAATTGGAAAAGCAGTTGGCATGAAGATTGAAGGCTGAAGACTTGGAGCTGAGTCAATTTTCTGATTGTATTAGGTGAAAAACGGATTTTACCACATCTGGGTTTAGCTTGTTGGGCTGGTTTGTTGAATCTATGAGCAATTCTCAATTGTCTTGCTTGAGAATGGTTGAGATTTGACCAATTGTGACTTCATTTAGAGCAAAATCGCAAGAATTGAGAAAGAATTCAAATTTATGGGAGATCTTCCATTGTTCAATTTAAGAACAAAAACGAATAAACACACACACTTCATATTCATTTGATTTTCTCTAAACTAACACTTCTTGTTTTCTAATTCAAATCATTTGAAACAAATCAATCAAAAGCTATCAATAGTGAACCATAACAAATAAATTAATTCTTTTCCTACTTTTCCTTCATCAAGTGACAAACAGATGAAAAGATCAGTGGATTTCTTTCATGATTTGATTTGTAGTAAGAATTCACCCTCTTGTTGACAGTCTCGGAAAGACACGACATATATATAAGATGTGTATATATACACATAGAGTATTTCAATAATTTAAAATATCAATTTAAGGACACTTTAGTAATTTTGACAGGTTTGTTGGTGTATTTGACGGTCCGTCACACATGAGGGAGGTCCGTATAAATTATTTTTATTTTTAGGAGAGGTCTAAATAATTTACGAAACAGGAAGGGAAGTTCTTACAATTATGGCAAATCATTAAGGAGGTTTGTGTAAATTACCCATTATAAGATTAGTTAATTTAGTTTTAAAAATCTTCTAATATATATAAATATTAAAGTGATAAGAGCTTAGATCAGAGGTTCTATACTAGCCCACAAAAAATCCTTCTTCAACACTATTTATTGGAATTGCAAATAAAAAACCATTATTTAATGTCAAATACTTTAACTGATCAAAATTGACCAACAAAAGAAAATCAGAAGTAAAATTTGCAACCTATTCTGTTGGGAGATCACTGAAAAAGTGAAATTATTATAATAAATTTTTTGATTAATTGAAAAAACAAATGATAATTAAATGAAATACAAAAGGTTACAATGGTCAATCTTTAATATTTATATTTCATGGTTTTTCATATAATTTTAAAGCCACTGAGTAGACTCTACAAGGGAGGAAGGAAAAGATTAAAGATCTAGAGTGGTATTTGCTTGAACTTTCTCATTCGAGTGATTAGTTGCAAAAGTTTTTTTTTTTGGGAAGGATTAGTTGCAAAAGTTGTGTGATATATGAGTGTTATTACAATTTATATTTGTCAATTTTTTTGCATTATAGATTATAAATATAAATTCTGAAAAAAAAATATTATCTAATATGCTGAACTCACTAGTCAAAATAATAATAATAATAATAATAGATAAATAAATAAATAAAACTTTTTTTTCCTATTCGAAACTCATGGCATTTTACTTTAGAATTTGAAAAAATGTTAGTATTAAATTAGGGTGATGTTTATTAACGCTTTAAAATGCGTCAACATATTAGAAATAGGAATTGTGTCACGTCAAATCTAAATAGAAAAGTAAATGATTATGTGTGTGTGTTAGGTAACTTAACAATATAAAAATTTTGGTCGGATCGCGAAACATTCAGCCCAATATAGTTGGTATTTGAACTCGATTTAGTTTTTAATTTGGTATCACATTAAACGCTCAATTCGAAATACTTTGGGTATGCCTTCGTATAGGCAGAATGACCTGATCCTAACAAAAATGTTACAAATTCGACCCAGTAAATAAATATATAGATAAATTAATTGGGGTAAGTGCCACCTACTTAAATTTTCGGTCCTATCAACGCATTATTTCAAATTTTCGATCCTATCAACGCATTATTTCAAATTTTCTTCCCCCAACCTTCCATTGAATCTTAACTAATAGGGTGGAGAATTATACACCACATATTCATACGGTTGTCATGTTAACGGAGACCCAATTTGACTTTGGGAGTTTTGGGTACACGTGGAATGGAACAGTTCTTCGACTCCATATTCATATTATTTCATAGCCAAATTTGATAAAATTTTATTTTATAACCAAAATTTATGTCTGGTCCATGCATCCAAATTTGATAATCGGGGAATAAAAGGGACCAAAAAAAAAAAAAAACTCCTTTCCATGCTGTATGGATAGATTACTATTTGTTTACTAAAAATGTCTTTAACCATGTTTATATTTTCAAATTTTAACGATAATATAAAATAAATAAATAAAAAAATTTAATTATTAAGTCACTTTTGAAATTTCAATCAATAATCGTAGTTGTAAAAATATTGTAGAAACTTGTCATGCATTGTTTGATCGAGAAAAAATTAAATGAATTAAATTTTCTACAATCACATTTTCACGATATAATTCCAAATATAGCTTGAGAACTTACAAAAACTACTATAGTCAAGTAATATAGGTTTCATATGATACATTTTCATATAACATTCATCAGAATTTTTTAATATTTTTTTTGGCTAAGTCACATAGGTCTACAAAAGTATGAAAAGACAATGGTTTACACCTCTGTTAAATTGTGTCTAAGAAATAACAAGGTAACATATTAATGAGTATCGGCTTCAAATCTGTATCATACATCTACCTCCTGCCCAACTGTTCATGTGTTGGCTCATTTACTTTCATCAACTTTGGGCCTAGTATTCAGAAGTACCTGTACACAATAATACGAAGATTGTAACATGATCTAAGTACGAGGGTCATATTTAGGCAGAAAAGTTTAGTCGAACAGAACAGTCTAGTTGAGTATCACTTCATCTTTAGATGCAAGACAATGATACACATGTGGTCCCAATGCATTTCTGTCCAATTATCATTTTCTAATCCAAATTTAGTTTCAAATAAAGCGAGAGTGATCTTAGGGATTGACCTTCCGGAGCATGGCGTTTTCATTAATCAGAGTCGAAATCTTCTCCTCTAATCTTGAGTTCATGTCTTGCAACTCCGTGGCTCTTGATTCAAGATCATTCATATACACTTTCTTTCGTTCTCGAGCTTGTTGAGCAGAAACCCTATTCCTTAATAATCTGTTCATAAGAGAAATTAATCCCATAAACTAGCATAGAGAACTAGAAAAATAATGAAATATATATTTGGCCTAAAAAAAATTTAATTCTTTATAGAGAATACAAACTACAAAGTTACTGTACAACTTTGGATGGTAGAGTAATTAAATTAAAACCAAGTCTTCCTTTTGAAAGTAATTCAACCTAATAAAAAATAAAAATAAAAATAAAAAATTCATCCTTGCTATAGTAGGTGTTCATGATTATTCATATATTGCAAACCATGTGCAACCGCATGCCAAAGATCTAGAATTCCATACGCGAGTAATTATTATATTATACCAGTATCTAAAAATTAATCTAGACCAGACCATGCATTGCTTCACATTTTTGCTCCTGATTTTTGGGAGAAAGGTGAACTGAATGTATATATATGCTTGCTAAAAAAAAAAAGAATGTATATATATGCATTTATAATTTTATATTGAGAAAATGTTATTTCTCTTCTCTTTCACAAGTATCAATTGTTGTCACAACTGGCAACTATGTCTCTTTTATTTATTCAAATCTCTCATTTCACACTCATCCAATTTTTTTGCTTACACACACACATTGCCTATTAAATTTGGCTGTGACATAAATAAGACACTGACAATTGCAAAAATAAAATAATAAATAATAAATAAAAATAAATTAAAGTTAAAGCTCAGACATAATCAAACACAATGTAAAATTATGCACCTCAACCAAATGTCACATATGAAATGAGTGAGTGAGTAAGTGACAAGCAAATATAATGGAAATTTGAATATAATTAAACTGATAAATATATATAATTATGATACATATATATATATATATTTATTTATTCAATACCTCTTGAGCCTTCTGTACTCACGATCGGCAGGGTTGCGACCCCTGCGCCGCCTAGTCTGCTGAAGCTCGGCGTTGTTGGTTGAATCCAACGGCGGTGGTGGTGCTGGCGGTGTTGTTGGCGGCGGTGGTGGTGGAGGAGCTTCTAAGTCAGGAACCGTGAACAAATCTTCATCACTCTCCTCTGCACATTAAAAAAAAAATTTAACTACCCAATTAATTAAAATAACAAATACTAAAATTCAAAAACAAGAAACACAAATGGTTCATCATCATATATACATATATATATATATATATATATATATAGAGAGAGAGAGAGAGGGGGGGGGGGGGGGGGGGGGGGTTGACCAACCCATCTTGTTCTTCTTATCATGAATGAGAGGAAGAGGAAAGGATTGGCTTTGTCTCCATGAAGAAGAGGAAGAAGAAGAGCCAGCTTGATCGTATGTAGTAGTCTTGGAGGATGAGGAAGGTGGGGGTTGAGGAATTGACATGTTTAATTGACACACTAAGACCTCCCTCCTAGAGAGAGAATTGGTTAGATATATAGTGTGTGTTGTATGTTGTGTGTGTGTTTCTAGAACTGGTTAGATACATAGTGTGTGTTGTGTGTGGCAATGTGACTTCACATACTCTGTTTCTGTTTTTGTTTTGTTTTGTGTTTGGTTTGGCAAATACGGCAGATGAGAAGTTTGGCTCAAGAAGAAACACGTTGACGTCCACACAACCGCCACTTTTTCCCTCAACTGTCAACACATCATATGATATAATATGACAGAAATAAACAACATAACAAAAAGGGCATTTGGTTTACGTTATTTATAGAAACCTCAAAACAGATAGTCAAACAAAAAAAAGGCCATTTGGTTTATGTAATTTATAGAAACTTGAAAACAGATCGATTTTAAGAAAATTGTTTTGATTAAACAAAATTTTCAATTGCTTCTTGATTTTTTGTTATCGGAAAACAAAGAATTCTGCTTTGTAAATTGAACCTCATTCCTTTTTAAGTAGAGAGAGAGGTGTTATAGAACTCTTATTAGACTAACAATAAAAATAGGATGATCAAAGTAATAATTTCCTGAGAGGAGTTGATCTAGATGAAAATAGTAAAACTATACTCTGGTGTTCAAAAAAATACCTTATATTTTTAAAATTGAGGAAGACCGAAATATTAAAAACGCCCTTATAAAAATGCCTTAAATATCTAAGGACAATTTTTTAAAAAATGCAAACTGAAATACAGAAAATGCACTTAAGGGTATTTTGGAGTTATATATATATATATATAATATTGGTCAAAATTGAGGGAAAATTGACTACAAATTTTCAAAATACAGAGATAAAAAAATGAGAGTATTTTTTTCTGCATTTTTTATATGGCGGGGTATTTTAAACTTTACCCTGGTAAAATGATTGAAATGCTAACAACTAAAAATAAAATGAGACAAAATCCACCTAAGATTTCTTTATTATATGTAACAAAAATTAAAAAAATGGTGTTAATTAGGGATGGTCACGGATCGGATCGGATTAGACATTAATCTTAATCCGATCCGCTCTTAGGGAATTGGACAAATCTTAATTCGCCACCGATTTGCGAAATAATGGATCGGATCCGCTATTTGGAGTTTTTTCCAATATTGTTTATTTTTTAACCATAGCCCACTAAATAAACTTTTAATCTATCAACATTAATTCATATATTTAAATAATCATTAGTTAATACATTCTTAAATTCTATTAAATGATCATTAATTAATTAAATTAACTAATACATTATTTTAATATATATATATATAAATCTCGTGGATCGGATCGAACTCACGGATTGGATTGAATTTTAACAGCTTAATCTCTGATCCGATCCATGAGTTATGATCCGATCCATGAGTTATGGATTCTATTTTTTTGAATCCACCACTAATTTATAATTGTAGCAATCTAATTCGATGTACACGGATTGAATTGAAACAGATTGAATTCACGAATTTACAAATTATTTACCCACCCCTCGTTAAAGAAGAAAATAAAGTCGTTGTATAGCTTAAAGATAAGTCGTTGGTCCATTGTTTGAAAAAAAAGGACTTGTATTTGCCCCAAAAAAAAAAAAAAAAAAAAAAAAAAAAGAAGGGGCTTGTATTAAGTAGCTAGCCGAACAGCCAATATAAAACTTTGAGACGAGTATATGAGCATAAATTTTTAGATCTTTATCTACCCTAAATGAATTGAAAAATGATTTTATTGAGTTGGGAATAATGAAAAATGATGATATAAAAAGAAGACATAAATTAAAATATTAGTTGAGACAATAAAGAAAAAATATGATAGATTTAATTGGAGTGGCTCATATATATTTTTGTCTTAAATAAAATAAAAAATAAATTTTAATAAAATGAAACAGTAAAAAAAAATTCCTTATAACGATGATAGGGTTTAAAAATGTAAAAAAAAAAAAAAAAAAAAAAAAAATTCCTTATAAGGAGTATAGGGTTTTAAAAAGTAAAAAACACAAAAAAAAAAAAAAAAAAAAAGTCTATATCAATCCACTTTTTCACTAATCGCCCAATAGAAAATTAGTATAGTAACTATAGTTCAAAAGGTAGACATTAATCCACCTCCCACCAATCAGTGTTCGGTCAATCTTTCCAGGCGTGAGGGCTCTTTACTCAGCTCTCAACTCACACCCAAGAACGTGTTATCTTACAAAGGAATCATTACCCATATTTACTTTTCCGAAAAAAAAGAAAAAAAATCATTACCCATATTTATAAATATCCTCTTCCTAAAGGGTCATGATAATGGATTTCAACAATGGTTGATATTGTTCACACTTCATGATTCACACAACTCTGAAAGATTTTAGAATTTAACTCTTTATACAGATATCATATAGGGTATGTCTTTCTTTCACATCAATCGCACGTCACATATCTTGCATTTCAAATTGAGGGCCTAGTGCATAGCTTGGCAAATCCCCAATTCACGGGCAATCTAGCAATCAGAGGGTCCATGAAAAAGCAAGAAATTAATCAATTTGAATCAAACTTTGTTTTAATTGGCCACAACTTCTCACCATGATCCTAATCAACATGGCAGCCAAAAAATGTTTTAAGATTAAAATCAGAAAAAATTTAATTATAAATTTTAATCAATTTTATTTTAAATTTTGATTTCAAGTTGTGATTCGATGCATTCCATTGTAACATTCAAAATATTGGCCACAATTTCTCATGAAAAATCAACATGGCAATTGGTTTAAATGATGGTATAAACCGGTAACACTGACTCTTCAACATGTTAGATGTATAAAATGAAGTGCAATTTTCAATTTTATCTTTGACCAAGAATCCATATTTCAAAGCAAAGCCTTCATATATTCATATTTTCATTCAGAGCAATGATATTTTACCCGACTCGGTAATTAAATCGACACTTATAAGTGGGGGTGGTCACAGATCGAATTAGATTAGGTATCAATCCTAATTCGATTCACTCCCAATAGATTAAAAAAATCTTAATCCGTCCCTTATATGTGAGATTAAAAAGAGACTTTTGGAACATTAAAGGAAAAAAAAGAGAAGAACTAATTACTATATTTCACTTCTGAAAACGTAACAATGAGTTTATTGTCTTTATAATATTGGTCTTTTATCATATTTTAGTCATAAAGTATAAAAACTCATAGAGGAAGACAAAATGAATAAAGAAAATTATTACAAGCAGCTTAAGTAAGTCCTTCCAGTGGTGAACAAGTATGGATGAATTCGTTCATAAGAAATTATATTAACCAAAACCCAATAGATTGGATCGGACGTACAGATTGAGATTTTTTTTCTAAATTGTTTAATATTATTTATTTTTTTCACATTAAAAACAAATTTAACCTAGTGATATATCCTTTCCACCCATTCACACAAAGCCTTTTATCAAAAACTATTATTAAACAACTAGAAATGAAAATATGCCATCCATACAAAATAAGGACCAAGATCCAAGATCCAAGATCCAAGATCCAACTGACTAAAAATCTCACCATGATCCTAATTAATCACAGGGATTCCCAACAAAAAGGTAGAAAATAAAATAAAAGACAGAAAAGTACAACATGTTGACTACAAATTACAATCACTAATTTTCCATTTTCTTCACCAATTGCCAAAGCTTCAACACCACCAGACCAATTGAAGGAGGAGCACACACAAATGGTACACCTTGAACATGCTGAGGTTGAGGCAATTCATAGGAGCTCCAATGGACCTGATCTAGCTAACCACTCTATATACATACATATATATATATATATATATATATACACACACACAATTATGTATATATAATTATATATACTATAGCTCTAAGAAGTGGTCATGTTGCAGGTTCTGGGCTTGGACTTGTCCAAAATGGACCACATCACCTGAACATCCTCATAAGCACATGCCATCACCTCCCCATGAAGATCCGTCACACGATTCTCATGCTCTGCATTGCATATATATACAATCGATTACATTATAATTATATTATTCATATCAAATATATATACACTTATACTATGTTTGGGATCACCAAATCCGCGCATTGAATTTAAAATTACATACCTAATTGCTGGGACTTCTTATCTCTAGGTTGCGGATTGAAGAATGTACGAGCTTTTCTGAATGGAGATGTGATTGTCCTAACCCAAGAAGTCATTCTTGTAAGATATGTTTTGGTATGTCTCAATGACACTACTCGATCTTAATGGCTTCTATATATATATATATATATATATATATATATATATATATATAATGTATATTTTATATATATATAGATATAGATATATAAAAGGGGATAGCAAGATCCGGGAGATGAGCTATGAAGGGTTCTTACTACTCCTTCTCTTATCTCTAATAAAAGTTGGGTGACTGCAATGAGCACATGGCGTTCGCTCCCAACACGTGAAAGCCTTTACTTTCTTTACAATGTGACGTAAAGATATGTAAGAACCCTCCCGAGATTTTTCCTACCGTTACAATCCAAAGATATTATTTATATATATATATATATAGAGAGAGAGAGAGAGAGAGAGAGAGAGAGAGGGAGAGGGAGAGGGAGCCCTCACTTCCGTGGTCCCTGTCCTTATAAGTTAAGGGATGCCCTTTCTACGATGATTACATTCATACTTGCGCACTGGTCCCTCTCTGTAGAAGTCAAGGGATGCCCATTTCTTAATCATGAATACTCATCGTGTTATATATATATAAAAAATAAAAATGTAAAATGTGATCCAAAACTACAAATTTTTAAAATAGATTTCCCTGTATAATTTACTCCTATCTACCAAAGGTAAACATAATTTTGGTTTAATGATAAAAGTTCAAATATAAAAATAAAATCAGTTTATTATCATTAATATGTTCAACTGTTAGTTTGTTATATTTTCTTTCTAAATTAAGAAATTATTATATAATTCCGTTAATCACAATATACTAGGTAAATAAATGTGTCAAATTTATTTGGATTTTTTTACTTGTGGGTCGGGTTTCACAACAAAGACCTTGCAAAATATATATATATATATATATATATTAAATCCACCTTTTTAAAAAATTCAAATTCATTTAGATGTTTAATTTGTAGATTCTATTGAAAGTTAATGCACTTGATAGTAGTTGGTACAGTGTAGTTACTATCAGTTGTTACATAGTGAGTTTCACACGAAGACAACTTCCTCCAATGTTGACATTTCGTCGTTAGATATTCAAAGAATCAAAATGCAAAAATAAAAATTACATAAGTTTTTCATAATAAATTAAATAAATTAAGGTAGTTGTTTGTATGGCATGGTTTCTTACCTTATAATAATTTCTTGTGACGTGGGCATACCTTATTCACAGATTTGATTAGGTATGAAGAGCAAACAGATGATTGGTGCGGAGTAAATGTCATGTGATGGGATAGGCATGATATTACTTTTAACTAATGATTAATGGCATTGGTTTAATCATTGACAATTACAATTATTTAATGGAATGGACCAATACCATTAATGCAATTTAATGCAACACTTACAGAGTCTCCTTTGAGATTATCTTATTCCATTAATTGATTCATTTTTTTAAAAGTAATTTTATTTATTTATTTATTTTTAACACTTAAAATTAGAATAAAAGATGCTCAGATACAAGGAATGATTTTTTAAGTCCAGGTTTACCTTTCTTCAACTCATAAATCCCAAAATTTTATATTTTCTTCATTTGTAACAGTTTATTTTGATATAAAATATTTTTTTCAATTTTTTTTTCTAGGTAATATATATATATATATATATACCTTTTTCACTTTTTGGTAATGAAGTAGGTTGAGGTTAAAGACTAGTCTAGCGAGTCTAGCATGTAAAATAAGTTATCGAAAATTGATGGATAAGTATTTTTTTTTTTTTTTGTAAATATTTTACGACAACCAAACACCATAAGATAAAAAATATATATTTTTTAAAAAATATTTTATATCAAAACAAATGGAACCTTAATTTTCAACCTTTTACAAATTTTTTATACGAAGTTTAAGTAACAGAGTATCCAATACAAGCTATCTTTCCAAAAACTAATAATAATAATACATTAAATTATTTGCCGGAAATTCTTTGTACTTTACAAGTTGTTCCTTACATTTCCATTTGTCCCTTAAGTATTTAAAATGTTGAAGGATACCTCCCTCTAAAGAGAGGCCAATGGTAACATTTTCAATAATTGAGGGAACAAATTACAATGTAGGTGAGAACTTGATAATACTACCATGCTATAGGATTATATTTTGCAATTAACCCTAATACTCCAACATGATATTGGAAGGGGACAATAATTTAAGTCTTCAGAGGGATGTTTGCTTTTTTTTAGAGTAATGATATGGTGTCCGACTAATTTTATGTAAATAAGACTTGATGATCATGACATCATAAATATTAAAAACACTATTCTTCACTCACGTAAATCAATCGAAGTTGTCCGATTGATCCAACTCTAAATTATTATTTATTTTTATTTTCTTAGGAATTGCTTGTTTCTAATGAAGTAATTTGTACATCCACTAACTTCGGTCTGTTAATGGTGTGATTGAAATACTTAAAACCAGTATATCTTCACTTCGTAAACGGTCCAATAAATTAGGCCACAAAAAATTTGGTGATTGAACAATTCCTTTTATATTTTATTGCACTCACATGGTATATTGCTTTAGTACTTATCCACTTTTATTCCAACAAATTTGGAATTTTTTTTTTTTTTTTTTTAATGAGAAGTCATTAATGCATTAGCTATTTTTTTTATTATATTTTTTTAACTTGAGAAGAAACTCACCTAAACACTCACATTATCTCTAAATTTCATTGAATTATTTTTTTTAAGCGAAAATAATTTGAAAGCCGATTTCAATTTGACGAGAGAGTGTGATGGGTGGGCTACGAAATTGGTGGGCCCCAACCATACACAATATCTATCCGAGCAGAATTGTCTTGGACTAAAATGTAATTAACAAAAATGGAAAAAAGTTTGAAAATGTTTTTACTCAAATTTATTTCATCTCTTGCCTGGATCTCATTATATGAGTTGAATTTTTTTATTTTTTATTTTGGCAGTCATTGAACGGTGTGAATCTGATTATTTTCACTCTCAATTTGTCTAGAACTTGATGCTGTTCAACGAAAAACCAAGAATGTTAACTAAAAAGTCCAAACCAACAACATTTAAATATGATTTTTGATTGTTCACCAGACAAATTTTTGTTCTTTTCCTAAGCTGTTGAAAAATTTATATAACTGAGATTAGATCATTTTTGGGCTTTCTATTAACCTCCAACAAGTAAAGAGAATTGAGAAAAGGCAATTTATCACAGTGATAAAAAGTCGTTGAATATTGTACGACTATCATTTAGGTTATATTTGGTGTTATAGAATTAAAGTTTTAGAATTGGTGAAATTAGAAAAAAATTTAGTTCAATTTTTTGAGTTGCTTTTTTTTAATTTTACCGATTTCAATTCCAAAAATCTAATTCTATGCTTGCCAAACATAACTTTAGAAACATCCAAAGAAAAAATTATGTAAGAAGGATAATAATGTAGTAATTTGAGGGAAAAAATGGTAATAATTTATGAGTATATAATAAATAATAAAAAAAAGAAATTAATAAAGGTACGTTACTAAAAAAAAACTCATTGGGGGGTAGTGATTATGCTGGGAAGGTATTGTATTTTTGTGATATTATCCTAAATGAAACTGTATGTATATAATATAAGGCTAATATATCATTTTTCATAAACAATGTGAGTAAAAAAATAATAATAATTACTTCTATCATTTTTATAAATTTTACATAATGTCTCATCTTCAATAAACATATTCATGTAAATTTCGATATATCATTGTATCATTATCTATAAGTTATTTATGTTTTATATTACTATTATAAACTAGGTAAAATCAAGGGAAATTAGTTTTGTTGTGACTAACTAACAGTAGTCCCAACAAACAGTATTTTGTGGGCCCTACCATGACTTTGCTATTTGTTCTGGCTGGCCAATTGTGGAGCCTGCGGTGGGCTCCACAAGTGGATTGTATCTGTGATTTTTTTTTTTTTGTTTTTTTTGAATGGGTGAGCTAGTGGACTGTGTCTGTCAGCGACTTTGCAAAGTTCAAAATCCAAATATCTGCAGCATCACTGTGAAACGCCCTTTTTTTATTTAATGTTACAACATTGGGATATATTTGTAGCTTTGAGATGCATTAATTAAAGATAAAACTACTAAACAAGTTGTTGAAGAAATACTAATCAAGTAAAAAGCATTAGATGGGTGCATCCAAAGTAAATGTACCAATTGGATGGAGTGAATTTTAAATGGAATATGATATAGTTCCTAAACACCCTTTAGACTATAGATTCTTCCATGTCTTTCAAAGTTTGAAGTCACTTTTGGTTGGTGCTTGAATTCAAATTAAGAATCTCTCACCATGATATTTTTGGGGTCTAACATGATTGTCATTTCCTATATTCTACACACAAATGCTTGTTAATTTGTGGAAGTTTTCAACCAATAGCTTTTGTTTCTTTTAGCTCAAACAAAAAATCTCAAACACTAACTCTTCTAATATTTAGCGGCCAGATTCTACACTTGTCATTCTATTATTGTGTCACTTCAGTAGTGACCTAATTGGCTGAGAAAAACTTAAATGATCCTGATGTAGTGATGACATGGCATCATGCACTAATTAAACACTTACCCACAATGTTAGGACCCACCAAGATATGTGCATTCTTAAATGAGGAGGCAAGTATTGTTCTTTACTCAAACTCATGCTAATTAAAATTTATTTACTTTCTTTCAATAGAATTGCTAATTAAATACACTGAACTCTCATGTGATTTGCCCTAATTACACTTGAATGAAACTTTTTTAAAAAATTACATTGACCTCCCGTATGAGGAAATCAGGGTGATGGACGTTAATTTTTAGGGTGATTTTACCTTGATACCCCCCTAACATTATAAATTACACTTGAATAATTTTGCATAATTACTATATTGACTTAGTAGCCACCCCTGCAAAATGTGAAGACACACTTTATATGGTGGAGTGAAAAGGTGGAGACATAGGTGAACTTGAAACCATTAGTCCACTTAGTATTGCACATGGTAACACCAACAAAAGGGAGTCTAAAGGGATCTCAGAAAAAGGAGAAGCTCCTCCATATATAACATAAACATTTGATGGTTCTCCTTCCATGTAGCTGCTAGACAAAAAGAAATAGAATCCCAATTACTACTTGCTTTTAGCCTGGCATGGTCACACTAAGTTGTTTCACTTACCACAAAAGATAAGAGTTGTGTAGAATCCTCAATGAGTTTAATAAATTTGCATATGGGACTGTCTTTTTGAGCATTGATCCTTCACCACAAAGGGTTAGGCTTACTTTTTAA